GGGTATACCTATTCTTATGGGGCCCGCTCATTCAATTTTTAGTTTTTTCATAGCAGTCACCAAGTTTTATAAAATAGAGTTTACCCCTAAAATAAAATGGATATTTATCACCTTATGGGGACATTGTGTCCATTCATTTCTATGGGGAAAACTCTAATCCTAACATGACGACCTTAACCCCTACCCAACCCTAACCCTAACCAATAAGTAACCATGACGACCTTAACCCCTACCCAGCCCTAACCCTAGGCCATGAGACCAAACAAAATAAATTTTTTATCATTTTTACTATTTTGATCGCATTGACAGATCTTTGTGAGAACCTGAGAAATGGTCCCCATAACATCAAAATAACAGGTTTTTATCACATTTTTTTGTTTGGGGGGGTGGGGCATTTGGTCCCCACAATCTAAAATAAGTTACTTTGGTAACTCCAGTTAACCTTGTTTTTGTTGACTGGGGGGACCCAGAGGAAACCCCACAACACAAGGAGAGCATGCAAGCTCCTGCTCAGGAGCCATGGCAGACACTCAAACCCAGGTCCCAAACATGTGAGGCGGCAGTGCTAACCACTATACCACCATGCTGCCCTGCTGTTTAACTGGATAGTAATAATAAACCATTAATGTAATGCCAAATGATCTCCAGACTAGTACTCTAACATCTTACCAAGAAAATAGGCAGGGTTATCACACTGAGGTGTTTAAAGGCATTATTCCCTATATTAAACAACGATTCAGTGAATTTTCCCTTTTAAACTCCACTATGACTACTGCAGCACAATGAGCAACTATGACTCCACCTAATCATTTATAAGACTAAGACACAAATTCCCATGTAGCCCATAATAAGAGCTTCATATAACCTGTGAGCAGGAACAATACTTTTAACTGCACCCTTCTCAGCAGCTTTTCTCAATCCTTACTGGTTTGATCCTAACGGCATGTGGCAAAGACCTTCTACCACCTCCTCCCTTTTTCTGGGAGGCAACCCTGCATGGATTTACTCTATTGAATTGCGCCTCCCAGAACTGCTACAGATGTCCCTTGACCCATCCCTAGGTACTCATCCTTTCTTAATAATTACAAAGTGTTCTGGAATTTTCAGTTCCCTTTCAACCACATAAGACCTACACTGAATAGAGCATGCATTATCTAGGGAATCTCTGGGTAAGCTATTTCGGATTTATTTGAATTTTAATAAGGCTAAAATCTATAACTGAGAGTCTGTGCCTAAAACACACTGTTACCTCAGTTGCTACAGAAGCGCCCACCATTGTGCTCTGCTTGTAACTGGGCACAAATTGTTATCCAGCCAGATTACTGCCAATCAGCCCCCTGCTGTCGTGACTTTCTTATCAGCTTGTATTCCTTTGTTCTCAACAAACATATTGTGTGTGCCCTGCTGTGGATAGACAATGGATACCCCATCTGGAGCTATTCCCTGCCCTACACCCACAACCTATGGGATATGCTACACAACCCTGTATAGGACAAGCAGGTATGGAAAATGGACGGATGGGTGGATGGATGGATGGATGGATGGATGGATGATGTCTTACTGTTGTTTAAACGCTGGTTTTCCCGACTCATAACTTGCATTCCTCATAACACGGCACGTGGAATTCTTGAATCTTCAGCAAGCCATGCTAACAATAATTTTATACCGGTAAATGCTGGAAGTTTTTAAATAAAGCGGGGATTTCCCAGTTAAATATCAGTAATACCTGGTAGTAAGATGGCAAATCACAAACACTTCATAAAAAAGAAACAGATTGCATGTCAGTGTGCTGTCCTTCATTTAACTAGCTCCAGTCATACCCTGTACAAGTGATGTTTTAGCTAGACCCCTTAGTAAATGATTCGGATCATTGAAATCCAAAACAAGTTTAAAAATCATTCAAGTCCCAAACAGATGTAAAAACATCCTCTTCCCCTATAGTGTAAGTCTGCTCTGCAATGAATGTTCTGTGATTAGTAATGTGTTACTGCGCAGCATTCAATAGCACTGTTTAAGCTTATATTTACATTTACAGATCAACTGTTCTGTACTTTATTCCATTGTCTATTTTAACTGCACACTGTGTATTGGGTATCACTTAATGGATTTAACCAGTTTAAACCGGTTTTCAAAACCCCATAATAGGGTACTGCTGAGTGATTGTTTATTGATTTGTAAGTGTAGCTTCAATGCTGTCCGTATTATACGCAAACATTACTTTAATAAAAAATACTAAAATTATTTTCCAGGAACAGCTGATATCCTTCATATTCCATGAAAAAAACAACACTGGCCGTGCACAAATACAGACTTTGTATTAAAAGTATAATAAGTGGAAATGGAAACATAGTAGCACATACTTGTTCCATTTTAATAAATATGATTGTAAATGCAACAAATAGAAACAATTGCACATGGAACAACTGTAACTAAAACAAAACACAACACATCTAAGTATATAGTATAAAAGCTTACAGTAACATTCTTTTCCTTATTCTACAAAAATAAGCTGACTAACTTTTGAAATGGGGCAAGATCGTTGTGCTTGTCCATGACTTTTTCACCAATTTATCAATATCTACATCACAGATGTCCCATAACACCACACACTTGCTGCATGCATAATGTTTCCTTACTCTTTTAAATGTGTGACTTAAGAGTCCAATAGTAGTGTGGAATTTATAAAGAAAAAGTTATTTAATTTCTGATTGATTTCTTGATGATATGGCAAAATGTAATCATTAAAATAAATGATTATAAATGCATAAATTATTATACGGCTTTTGACCAGGAAAATTGGCATTTTTATAGAAAACAAAGTGTGAATTTAACAGTTTTTCTTGCTGTGCATTTAATGTTATAATCTTGGTTCCAATCAAAAAACAAAACATAAATGTATAACACCTAGTGTTAAATTCAGAAGTTTCATTTTTAGCTTTTATCATACTGTACATCTAAAAAGATGATACTTTGCATGGTAGTATGCTTGTTCTGGACTAGGGAAGGTTCACATCACACCTTAGCACTGAAGCACTTTGAATATTATAAACATAAAGTTTCATAGTTTCTGGTGTTTATACTTTTCTGAAAGCCCATCACCGTGTCAGTTATGTTAATTAAACGAAATGTGTTAAATGGATGGAGAGCCAAACATTTTTACATAGTCAATTCTGTGTGTGCAAACAAGTATAACCTTAATCTCTACATTGTGATTCACAAATTAATTTGTTACCAATTTTCACCACAATCAAATATTGATTTGTACGTAGCTGGGAGAAAACTGGTTTGTAAAGTTGAATGAAAGGCTCTTCCATTGGTACTGATGTTTATATACTGTAGACAAAAAATGTAATCGGGCTGGATGAAATATGTAGCATTGTTAGCTCTTAGGTACATTTATAGTACATGTAAATTGAGATTTTTATATTTTTGAGATGATACATGCCTTCATCTGGGGCAGATGGACTATTCAATATAATTAGCATGTTTTCAGCCTTTATTACAGTAGCTGTTCTGAAAATCACAGTATTTTAGTAATATCAGTAGGCTTTGTTTGGCCTACATTTGAACAATCTCAAATGTGGTATAAATTTCACAAAATTAGGATGTGTCATTAAAATACCAAGAAGCTACGACCACCACAACGTGAGAAAAACTATGACCACATCAATCACTTAAAACTAACGCTTAAAAGTTATGGATATCGGGCTATTGTTGTGGTAGTTATACAGTACAACTGGAAATGAAATCCAGAATGAGCTGTTAACACATTTTCTTATTGTACATATATCAGGACCTCCTTACCAAGAATATAGCATGGTATTGTGCAAGGATCTTACATTGTGGAACATATTCAAAAGTGAATATTTTGTGTTTTTATTTTATTTATTTGAAAAGAATTTTAAACCTCTTCCTTCTAACTTTTGTGTGGACAGCTAGTCTGCAGTGGAAAATAACCATGTTAAAAATGAGCAAATGCAAGTATAATAAAATAGAAAGGTTACCTTTATGTATATTTAAATAGATTTTCTTCCAACAGATGTTTGTGAAAATTGTTCTTATATTTTGTGAAAATCAAAATATAATTACAATTACGTTAAAATTACAAATCATTTCATAATAATTATGAAATAGTTATTCATACCAATATATCATCCATTCTGGATATTTAATAACTTCAATGGCAATTTATGATCAGAATCTGTATGTTTCAGATGCGGTCTGTTCAGTTTTCCTTCCCAGTAATACTTTTTTTAATGTCATGTCAGTAATACTTGCAAAGAGAGTGTGTTTGTTAATGTTAATATTAACTACACAAAGGTCATTTTAAAAGTATAATATAAATCCTTAATTGATTCTTTTGTAACCTCTAGACCAGCTTCAGTCTGTAAAAGGTTTATAACTTGAGCTCAACCACTTGGCTGAATGTTCGCAGCTTTTAATTGCTACATGTGTAATATTTCAATAATGCTTTATGCTAATAAATATAGATTGTTATAGACACAGAAATACATAATGGGAAAAAAAATACCATTTTTATGAATAATCCATCAAACCGGCTTGTGTTTTGTGCATATTTGCACACAGACAAAAGAGAAACATAAAAATCCTTAAAATGCGAAAAATAAACAATAAAATCCGAATGGCCATTGTGCATTGTTGAACATTTAATGATAAAATAAATAGACTAAAATATCTAGTTTTCAGTTTAGTTAAATAATTTAACATTTGTCATTCAAATACATTTAAGTTTAGTTTGTCAATAAAATCCATACACATCTCAGAAACACAGTCATGGTTTACAAAAAAAATGAGTCAATTAAATATATTCTCATAAATTAAGATCTACAGTATGATTCTTGTTAGTGTTAAAGTAACATGAAGCAAACCTCATCGGCACACCAACATGTTTTTGTTCACATGCAGATTTTGCCAAAAGAAGTTTATATGCTTGATTTGTACAAATATATGTAATCAAAATGTATTATTTCATAGTGACATATAAAAAACCTGTACAGTTTATTCTGGTATCCACAGAGCACAGTTTGTGTCAGCACAGTCCAACATGCACAGGCATAAAGCTTGAAACCTTTGTGTCTGAATGGTTTGTGGGTCCGAAACACAACTGCATCTGACTTGGGTTCCAGAATTCAAACATTGACATAAGTAGGTATTTCTGTTGCAAATCTGATGTCTGTGTGAGGTTCTGTTTAGACGGGGAAGAAAAGGGAAAAAAGATCAGAATTATTCCATTTTGTTCTTCTTTGGCATTTCACTGCATAATATTCATTCGTTCATCTTCTACACTGCTTGTCCCTCATAGGGATGCGCGTGATATTTTAGGGGAACATGTACAGTACAAGCGGTAAACAAGACAGCTGCTGTTGCTGCTGGTGAAGAGTGCGAGACTGATTGAATCTTTTCAATATCCTTGTGATCCTTACAAACATTAGCCATCTAAATATATCTTTTTGATGAAATTTCAGCATCAGATTTTGTAGCTTTTCATATGTTTTATTGCTTTAATAATTTTACATTTTAACTACTGTATACTTGGATAGAGGGAAGGATCTTTGACTTTGGGTTATTAGCTTGGGTTCTAGGATAGCTACTTACTAAAATATGTCATAAATATGTTGCAAAACTTGGCAAAAAGTTTGTGTGCAGGGATGGGGTCTGTCTCCTCTTTGCTTGCACCACAAAGTTACCAAAGAACTCCATTGTGGGGGAGCAGCAAACAACAATGCAGTGATTTCTGCCACTGAAACAAGGCTCATTGACTGCAAACCATATTCTACAGTTTCTCTATATGGATATTACACGGCATGTAGTGGAAGATGTCCATTGCTTCCGTAAGAAGCCCAGACTATCCTATCAACTGGGCTACCAATACATTTCTTTGCTTTCGTTGCTGTTAAAGTTTTTGAATAACTACTGAAAGCAGTCTTAACGGTTTAAGACCATCTCTAGGTGTTCTTACTGGGCAAGTGAAAGTGCTTAAATGGGGAAATTGTATATCAAACCCCCAAGAAATACTTGCAGGAGTGTCTCATGGGTGTATTTGTCTTTTTTAATACATTGGATAAGAAACTGACGAATTCTGTCTGTCCTGAGAAATATGCTGATGACATGACCTTCACGAAAATCGTGACAGGCAAAGTATCTGGTTTATTTTAAGGTGATTCATATGCAGTTATTAAGCTAATATTAAGCCTAAAAACGTGAGTATAACTATGGTCATGGTCATCAGTTTTAGGAAAAGATATAGCAAATTTTATGCCACCACCACTAATAGTACAATCTGCATGTAGAACATGTTATTGTGTTTGAACATTGGGGAGGTTGCTTCTGACCTGGGGCCTGTATCACAAATTTTGATTACTTACTTAGTCAGATAACTTGTCAGATTTAAGGTACTCTGGGCCAAATGTTAGTGAACAAAGATGAAGTCCATTTGGTCCAGACCACCTTAAATCCAACAAGTTATCTGGCTAAGCAAGAATTTACTACCTCGGGATGGAAAAGTGTGTACAGTAGTTCTTCTCTCTGAAAGTTTACCTGTTGTTTTTAAGACCAGTTTTGAAATCTGAATCACCCATATGAGTTGGGTTATTCAAAAAACATATAAAAGATTTGGATAATGTATAATGAAGGAGTTGAGACATCACTGGTGTACTCCATACCCATGGCTGGATGCATTTGAAGTAACATGGAATTACACTACAGCCCATTAGTGTAGCAGCAGTTGAATTACACAATGATATTAAATTGTTCTCTATATTTCAGTGTACATTTAAGATATTATGACATGGTAATATAATACATTCATGGAACATTCATTGCACCTTCATAATGTATTCGTAGAACATTTATAAGCAGTGTCTAACTACACCATAACATCCTAACATGTTTTAAAAGCTTTAATATACATTAATAACAAACATTATATAACAAACATTACAATCATATATCATTTATTACAACTGTTTAGGTATGTTAGGATGTTAAGGTATACTTACATGTTGCTTATGAATGTTCTATGATTGCATTATAAATGCATTATGAAGGAGTACTGGATGTTCTGTGAATGCATAATGAATGCATTATGAAGGTAGCAGCATAGTAACAGTTCTATATTAATGTGTTTTAATGTGTTATTAAACATTTTAATATAAAAACCTGTATGCCTTTTTGCTCATTAAAAAGCAGTCATTTTTATCAACAGAATTTTCCTGTGGACAGTTTCTATGGTAACTTAATGGACTTGCCGTCCTTATATAGACAATATTTCTATGTGCCTGCTGGAACGTTATTAAATGCTCATTGAAATTATTTTTTTTCTGAAATAGTTTATTTTATTATTATTTTTGTTTGTTAGCCGCGGTATAAGTGAGACAGACCACTTCTAGCTGTGCAGTAATATGAAAATAATCAACTCCAACTCTGCTCGCGGCAGAAAGTTGCAGTTGATTATTTTCATACAGTATAGCCACACATCTTGTCCTGGTATTTCTCTTCCATAGTTTTTTGCATATACAATTCCAGTTTTAATAATCACCTAAATTTAAAAAACCTATAAAATAAATAATATAATACGTGTGGGTTGTGCTTGAAAGTAATATTACCTATGGCCTGTGTATTCATCTCTGCGTCCAGCAGTTCCAGAGAAGTCACCAAGTCCTTTTGTAGTTTTGGCGTCTCTTCCATTGGACTGACTGGACTAATCACTTCTTGCTCTTTTTCGTTCTGCATCTGCGCATAGACACTGATGCCTGGGATCTTCCTTGAGGAAAGATTCACAATAAGACGTGGATAACGAGAATTGCAAGATAAGTTAGTTAGGAAAGGAAGGTTAACGGATGCACAAATACCGAAATCAAAAAAATTGACTGTATCATCACTTGTAAATGGTTTAAAAGGAGAACCTACTGTAAGATATTCCCAAGGAAAGCAAGTAAGTCAGAAAAAGAAAATGTATAGGATATACAGTATGGACAATCCGTGCGTCTTAGCTCCTATCTGAACAGCCCTTTCTGGCCTTTCCGCGTACCATAGAACTGTGCCTGCATAGAAAGATGACCGCTTAAAAGTTTAGAAATGTCAACTAGCACATTCTCCATGGGTTAAAAATTGATAATGTCTGACATTTCACATTTGCAGAGAATGCTGAAATCAAAGAGTAGCTCCAAACTTAGGAGCACCAGTGCGAGTCAACATCACTGCTGATATTTCTAAACTTTTTCTTTTGCAATACTTTAACTTAAACGCATGCCGATAATCATGCGATAGTTTATGTCTAAAAATACTAATAAAAACTATTAACTTGCGTCTACGGTTAGGCATGTTCACAAATGGCTTATTGGGTCTGGATCATCCTGAGAAGCACAGAGCAGAAAGCGGCGTACAACCTGCACATGCTGTCACTCCATTGTAGCTCGCACACAGACTCAGTCACACGCTAAAGGCAATATACAAATTCAAGTGGACAGCGTATCTTTAGACTGTGGGAAGAAATGGAAGACCCGGGGGGAGATGACGAAGAACATGGGGAAGGCAGCAAAAATGGCACACGCGCAACACTGTGGCCAGATTCGAAGCTGATACCCTGCAGTAATGACTTGATAATGCTGTCTGATAAGGCAGCACTTTTAGTTATTCAATTAGTGAATTTCCAGTGAAGCATATTCAACATAAGTTCTATAAGCAATAAAAAAAAAAACAATATATAAAAAAGACCACATTACCTTTTGAATTTATAGACGACAAAGACTGCTAAACCCACAACTACCACTGAGAGCAGCATGAGCATGGCAGCGCCGCTGTGGCTATCAGTGGTGTCCACGAGTGGAGCTGGAGAAGAGGAACAGAGCAATTAATACGTCTTGCAGAGTTGCCTGTCAGGCATGTTGTCAAACAAATGGGACTTACCGGCAGACAAATGTGCGGCGTAGACTGTGACCTGAACCCTGGGCCGGAGAGTGAACTGTACAAGGTTTTGATTAAGGGCTCCGAGCAAGACTTCATATATCTGAAGAAAGACAAATAGGTTAGCATGTATGCTACATGCACATGTGTGTTATTGCTCCGTGTGTATATTTAGAATTTTTGTTTGAGCCAATAGCAAATTTTGTTGCATTTTTATTTGGTGGATTTTAATATTAATAATAAAGGAGAAATCATTTAGCGAATTGTACTATATATCATTTGATTCCAATTGACATATTAATTGACAGTTTTTTCAACTACTTATCCTAATCCGAGTCATGGCAGGATCTGCAGCACAGCATACAGTATAAGGCAAGGGTATATCCTGGAGAGGATACCAACCCTTGTAAGAACATGTGCAATCTCCACACGCACAGAGCAGAGACAGGATTCAAACTCACAACCATGGAGATACGACGCAATAGCGCCACCCACTGAGCTAACATGATACCAGCAAATAAGCTCTCTTTAAATCATCGATAAAGTAAAGGAAGAAAAATTGTTTCAGAAAATATATATATATATATATATATATATATATATATATATTTACTCTTAGGTATTTCATACACAGATGGACATATACATACTATTAAAATAAAAGTACTAAAGTGTTTTTTTCCCAAATGCATAGAATTTGAAGAGATATGAAGATGAATACAGCTGGAAAGAGGAAGGCAGTTCAGCTCTATGTTGGGCATCCAGCTTATGATACATTAATTGTTCTAAAAGGAACCATGTCTTTGAGTCTTGTTTATCCTGTGATATATTTATTCAGCATAAAGTGTTGAACAAATATAATCCCACCATCTTCCTTTTTTTATATATATATGACTCACATTTGAACCATAAATACATCCGGCATGAACCACCTCAGTGCTTCATAAAAGATTGTTCGCATTTTGTGAAATAAAAACCTTTTCCGGGCAGAACATGGAAAATGAGTAAACATTGACATCTAGTGGTGTAGAAATGAAAAGCATGTTACTGGCTGTAATTATGCCTGGTCCAGCTAACGGTATCCAAAGACAGGCAAAGGTGATGAGCGCCGATGTGCTCACACTACATTTCAAATGTGACCTAATGAGTAGCTATTACGCGTGTACATAAAGTGCTTTATCAGCTAATGCCCTAATTATTAATGTCGGTGGTGATTTAATATTTTTATGTAGTATTCCAATTTTCTGTACTCAAAAGTACATTTCAATACTAATATAAAAAGAGACAAAGCAAATTTAGAAAAATTCTCAACACAAATATTCAAACAAAACAGTCACACTGAAGTATACAAATAAACCATGAATACATTTAAATGAATTGAATATACCTGACCTTCATCTGGTTAAATATCTTTAATTCATAACTATTTATTTAATAATAAAAATAATAATAATAAAATGAGAATTATTTCTGGCCTGTTGTTTTCCAAGAATAACCTTAACTCTGGCATGTGTGCATATTAGTGACAATACAGGAAGATCCACAGTGACGTTCATCCTTGATGATTAAATTATGTTCTACCTGATCCAAATGAGCTGAGACTGCTTCTGGTTTCCTTTCTGTTAAATCTTTACTGGGCAGAAGGAAGAATTCTGCTGCTGTAGGTAAACCGGGCAGGACCGCGACCAAAAGCTGCTCCTGATTGACTTCGGTGGCCTATTTCAGAAAGAAATTGACCTTTAAGCACTTGTCTGTTCTCTATCCTGTCATAGATTAAACCACAGTCCATGCATCACGCACTGTAAAATAGCAGTTATTTGTCATTGTGATTTTTGCGCATCGTGTGTCAAAAGTGAATATGAATATGAGCTGGAGGATGCGTGACAGTCCTCTTTAAAGGTATGTTGCTTAAGTGGACTTCAACTGACTTTCAGTCTAGGAAAAGTTCTGTGACCCACAAATACAGAAATGTAGTGTATAACTTTTGTTTAGTATACCGTATGGCTGCAAAGATTTAGTGACACAAGTTAATGTGCGTATGGAGCTGGAAAAACTTACTTCAACCATAGATTTCTTAATTACTCTGCTGATGTCTTGTCTCCATTCAGCAACATCAGGGTTATGTTCATCCAAGTTTGAAGAAAATGCTAAAAGATGTGACCTAAAATATTCTTGAACAAAGAGATAATAAAAGACCTTCTACAACATGCACATATCATACTGCATTTGACACAACATATGGCATTAATTAAAACGATTGAAACAAAAAAGCAAAACTCTCTACTGGTCAATTATACATGAAATAGTGTCTTATGTTTCTAAAACAACAAAGCTCTGCGTAATGGAAAAGGAAAAATGTCTATTATTTTACCAGGACATTCTGACCTTATTTATGCACCGGTTTAATTCCTAAGGGAAATATTGGGGTGTTTTAACCCATCAAACCCACACACGTTTTAACCTAAAATTTTGTTGCACCCCACTCCAGTGCAATTACATCCCATTTCTCTTCCTGCTGCACAGCTATGGTCGCCCGCTGTAAACTAATGGATGGATGCTGCAAGTTGGTACATTTTCAGGTGAAGTGTTTTAAATGAGAATTTCAGTTTTAAAAAAGACACATCAAAGACAACTAATTAAACAATAAGACCCGTAATACTCACCATGCACGACGATAGTTCTCTTGTCTTGCAGGATCTTGCTCCCAGCAGACACCTGCACCGTCACTGTGTTGATTCCTTCTCGGCTGAATGTAAATGCAACGCTTCCCTCAAGGGTGATCAGAGGCTGAAAATGTAGATTCATGAGTGGGCATGTGCGGATCTCCTGGGAAATGCTACTCTACCTGGTTAATGGTAGCTGGTAGCCAGAAACGAAAACACGGCCCTTCAGTACATTATGTGATTTTACTGAACAGACTAAGATGTCTGGTGAACTACTGTCACTCTCCTACCGACAGCATTTTATAAAAATGGTGATTAAAATGCAATATTTAAAATTTTTTGTTTTTGCCTATTTTGCAAAAAACTTTAAATCAACCTCGGATAAAATCAGATCAGTTTACATAGTGATTATTTTAGTTACTTAGAGGTGAACCAAGCATTTCTGTTATTACACATAATGTAGCATTTTGAGGGGGTTCTGAATTTAGGATATTTTATTGAAAATAATTGCTCACATTATTTAGAATTACAGTATGCACTACAGAACAAGTAACCTTCCACCTACTTATAAAATGAATTTAATGCCTTAATAACCATTTGAAGAATCACAGATAGAAATGCAAGCATTTGACAAACCTCTGTGTTATTTCCAAACCACCAGATGTAAGTGACTGATCCCACTTGGCTTGGCCATAAGACTGCTGTTAGATTCACTTCTTTATTCGTTACTGCCACAAAGGGAGCCGAAAGGTAGATATGTTCTAGCTGACCTATTCAGGAACAGACAAAAAAATTAACTATTCAAAGTTGGTCCCTTAAATGGGGAACTCCATAAAGTTAAAAATATTCCTCTGCAGGATACAATGCCATCTGTGTGTTATTTTTCATCTTTGGTACTCGGAGTAGCCCAGACCTTATTTGCTCTTCGGGTACATCAGATTGACAGATGGGATGGCTCGAAATTCCTGATCAATAACCCATTACTATTACATTTGTCACCCTCAAACACGTTGCAGTGGTCGGAGTGACTTACATGTTATGTGCAGGTAGAGAACCACACTTTCAGAGCCAAGACCGTTCTCCGCCATTGCAGAAACTTTGTAAATTCCAACATTTCGGTAAACGTGCTTGATTCCATCTTCAATGGAACTAAGGTTGGAGTACGTTACTGCATTGCCATCTCCAAAATCCAATGTGACGCTTGTTCTAGATCCATCACCCTGACATTGCAAAGACACAATTTAAAACAATTATAGAGTAGCCCAATTTAATGAAATATAAAGTAATAATTATTGACAGACTGCATTATTACTATTATTATTATTATTGGTAATTCTTGAATCATAATATTTCTCTGTCTAGCAACATTACTACTTTTTATATATTTTTTAAGTAGTTTTTATATATAGTACTTCGTACATTTACTGTGTAATTGAATGTTTTTCGATGCATGTGAAGGTGCAGCTGCTTTGCAATTTCGTTACAATAACACTAAAAGGCTCCTAATTCTATTATTATTATTATTATTATTATTAAGCAATCAAGTTATATATCTAAAAAACACTAGATTTTGGATAACTTATTTAAAAAATAACTGAACATTGCAACAATAGAAATGTATTTGTCTTAATCCATAATTATGTAGGAATTCCATAGTTTCCTTTATCATACCCACACAACCTCCTACACCTCCCATGCCTATGATTCATTATTCATGCAGTGATTGAATCGGGCACCAGCGTAGCTCTAACTGGTAGAAAATCTTCATGGCATGCCACTATTGCGATGTGCGCGTCGCATCTGTTAAACTTCAAACCATCACCTCCTCAAGAAAGACAAGAAAAGTGACATTGGTCCCCAGTGTAGCTGTCAGCTTTCCTTCGCTCGTGATGAGATGAAGGCCTCTGGGAGCTCGGCTGGGGCACCGCTGTTTCCTGGCGGTGTATTCCTCAATTATACCAGCGGTGCAGTTATTGGACACAACCTTCCTGTATCTGGCATAAACATCCGAAGACGTACCATGCGGAAAGGAAACAGATTATTATTCGCTCAATAAAGCTCAACGGTACCCCATTTTAGCTGAATAAACAGACTGATTCGTAACGGGGTTCTAAGGAAAGGACGACAGGTATTAGCGGTCACCAAGAAAGTTTGAAACGTATTACCTGGGAAGGGGTACATGAAAATTTCCCACTCGTGGGACTAATAAAGAATGATCTTATTTTATCTTATCTGAAACGCCAGAATAATATTGGTCTTCTGATGTTTCACTGTTAGGCTGACCAGGTCATCCATGCCAGGGAGGACATTTTGAGCTAGGACAGGAACTAAACTATAAACTATCATTTCAATTAAAAGGACATGGATTTCACTTAAGCACTGAGTTCTTGCGGCGTGCTGAATGGTCAGTCTCCTATAATGATTCATGTGTCACAAATGTTAAGGTTAAGGTTGAGTCTTTAAATCAAGGAAACAAACCAGCCAAAGCACAAGAACAACTGAACTATTAACCAAAGCACAGGAGCCTTTCAGTTTTGAAGTAGCCTGTAAAACCTAAAGTAACTCAAATTGTCCTCTCTGACATGGATTACTATTTATTACTTATCAATTTTCAGTGTATGCCTAAGGATCCATGCTTTACTGTGAATTGGTGAAAAAAAAAATCATGAGGGGAAAAAACAGACTAAGTATATTCATTATCAGGTTTCAAAATGCTTACCCCGTGCTATTAAGGAAAATGTTTCCAGTGGTACAGCTTCTCGCCATTGAAGATGGAAGAAACCAGAAGGATGGTGAGCACTTCCCATTGCTACGCCTCTCGTAGCCATAATCACTGCGGCAGAGGGACAAGGTGGAAAATGCCATGAGCAAAGGCACCTTCTGACTGTGAAGGCCCAGTGTCATCCTATGCAGAGTTTGGGGAGTTTCACTGGAAACCTTTTCCTGATCACCTCAACTTAACCGGAGGTTTGGATTATGTGCTCCTTTGAAGAAGTGGCAATTATTTATTGAATGAGATTTGTTTTTTACCTTAGGTTCAAAATAAATGCTTCACTGGACATTACATACATTTACTTGGCTAAGGTAGTAGGACATAATTATACAAATATCTAATAAAAATAAATGTGGATTTCACAATCAAGTTGCCATAATATCCATATGCAATGTCTTAGCTAAAAAGAGGCGACGGAAGAAAATAATTGTGAAATAAACAGACTATTTTAAGATGTAACATGTTCAGATGTCACAATTTACGCTTAATTAGCACTATGACATTTGCATACTTAAGCATTATATTTTTGAGTGAAAAAGATCAGACACTTCTAAAGAATTTTCTTCTACATTCAATTACTACAGTGTGCCCAAAAATAAGCCATACCAATGGAGTGTTATCTGAAACATCATAATCAGAAAGTATACTACATGGATGGCAACAACTCTGTATCCTTTAAGGGCCCCCTGTTGATTTCACATTTATTTATTTATTTGTTTGTTTGTTTGTTTAGTGACAAAACACGCAAATCAAATACGCACACCAAACCATTTAAAAATCAACTTTGGTTTAAACATTACAATGCAAGAGCAAATCAAATCTCCATCTGAATTTGTGCCCTGCAATTTGTTTTCAATTGTCACTTCCAGTTAGAGGAGCAAGCAGTGTGACATCAGCTAGTTTATACGTTTGCCTTCAAAAAATGAGCAAATACGAAGAAAAAACATAAACCTGGTGCATGTAAATGGAGAGACAGATTGGTGGAACAGCAGAGAAAAGACGTTATTATGTGTAGTTGTGCCCCTCTGATAAACTATTTTAGCCACCCCAGCTGTTAGCGCGGATGGATGCATTTACAGCCACTAAAATTTTATTATACAACAAGATATTAATATAATGGGCCCCCTGAGCATCCCACCCCCAAATACAAAACCTTTGCTCCACCCCTGGTTTACATACTATGTGGCTGCACACCCAAAGGAGTTCACTAACACTTTTAAATTGGTTAATGTTTATGTGATTATATAGTACACATGAAGCCCAACAACGAACATCTAGATTTTTCAATGTGTTTATCGTGGCTGATGTTCCCTTTTGTATAACAACGAGTAAATAAATCCTTGTTTGCCACAGTTGTCATTTCCACATGTGGGTGTTGGGTAAAAATCTGAGTTATCACATTTAAGCTGGCTTTGTAGAGTCTGATTTAAAGCTGTGCATGTCTCCTACCTGTTTTGGGTAGCCCATTTTAGCCAGGCGAATAATGTAGAAAAATTCCTTTTTGTGATTGTATTGTTTAATGTCCATATTTGCAGTATGCCTACTCATCATAGTGCAATTTTTCTATGTGATTGAATTGCACCCCAAAATGGAGTGGTGGAGAATGTTGTAATGAATGGAAAATGTTGGCCTCTATAGCGTAACTGTATATGTTTTGTCTTGCTGTTTTTTCTATATGTTCACAAGGACTCTGAGTATGGAGATGCACCAAGAATAAACACCTATTCAATGCTGTTACTGACTTTTCTTTAACAATTCCTATCCCATGAATCTCCACATTTGTTGTCAGAAGTGGGATAGACAGTAGTGCAACTAATGAAGAATGGAACTTCTGTCATAGACCTGAAAGACAAAATCTTTGGGAAACGAGGCCAGTGACTACAGTATATTAATCTCAGAAGCTTTAGAGGCAGAGTCTAAGACTAAAACTGAGCCAGCATCCTCAAATTTTGGGTCAGAGCCTTCCTAACCAATTACAGAATTGTGAGGACTGAAGACATCTCTACTTGAAGCCAACTATTAGGCAAAAGCACAGAACCTCCAGACACGGACACTAAGCCTGGCAGTAACTAGAGGTCCACAGGTAAAACTCCCTAAATCTAGTCCTCATCGATGAGCTGCACATCTCTCCACACCCTAGCTGACAGTCACTGTGAAGTGACCAAGACACAGATATTCATCTTAATTCTGCTGTGGGACCCAAAAAGAGCACAATTTGATGTATCGTGAGCAAAGTATGGACACAAAAAATGGTTTGTCATGTTTTCAGCAAGAGATCTTGGACCATGGAAAGAGCCAGAAGCGGAGTAGGCTAGTCCCATTGCTGAAAGAAGATTAATTAGATGCCTACTCGGTAATGGATAAGAAATGGTCCAACTGTTCTTGAGATGCTTACTAGTTGAGGTAATTCTTGGTACAAACTTTGAAGTACTTGCCAATATAGTGCCCCCATTTCTGTCTAGGTATTGTTCAACTGTTGTCAGTACGTGTTGTCCTGTTATCAGCAGAACCCAAGCTAAATCAGGTCTGCTGCCACTTCTAGACAGTTGTCTATATGAGGAAGAGGAATTCACAGAGGCAATGGTGACTAGGGAAACATATGAGGGAAGTCGTACCCGAAACACACCCATCTAAGTTGCAATGTGCACAGGAAATGCCAGAGAACATAACTGAACGGCAATGAACAGACTCCTCACTATAGCCCTTGTTTGAGAAAAATCAAGGTGGTCAAAAAAGAGTGAAAATGGGGTATGGTAGGCTATGGATCAGGATGACGAGTGTTCAGTAGTGCTATCTAGTTGGAGACTTTACCTTACACATGCCTTTCCATAGTCAGAAAATTTGCAATTTTGCAACCAGATATGAAGAGGCTTTCCCATTGTGCAATGCAACCACCATTAAAAGGCGTGCCAACTTCACAAGGACGGTGGATGGCAGCCAAGCATCCCAGCCAACTAAACCAGCCTTTACCACCTCAGACTGGTGTCTATTTAAAAGTTTTAAACCCTCAAAAACATGCTGAAGAAATGGCTAAGTGGCACAAGTAATGACTAAGATAAATAGCTGCTATTCCTGGTTTCCCCCCACTGAGAAATTCTATAGGCATCTGTGACCATTTGAGCTCTTGCATAGTTGTTCTGAAATGGGACCACCGGCCATCCCAGCTGTGACTTCAGCAGAAAAAGAGATTGTCAATATGTCATGGGAAAAAACCTAGAGAAAAACCATGTGAAGTCATAGCAGAACTTTTAAAAAGCTCAATAGTACCAGAAGCATTGGCATAGCCAGCATACTTGATACGGTATCTGTTTGGTCAAAAAGTCTTACTTCTGCTTCCATCATCCACAAGCAAACCTCATGCAAAATGGCAGAGACTATTTACCATCTGGAAGATAGGCCCAGTTCCCTATTAAGTCCTGAAGAAAGACAAGAAGAAGCATGCAATTCTAGCATGCTAATCTGATTAATAAGTTTAAGAACAAAGACCCAGAAGAACCTTGGAGGCAACAGATCCTTCATGCAGTGAGGGGCAGATGGGTCCCTGTGTAAGTAGTTTTGCAAGCCGAATGCTCTATATCAGTCTGCTACCTACTGTATCACATATTTTGAATTGATGACCAGCTAGAAAGAACTGGATCTGTCAGTTTTGTCACTACCGTAGATTTCTGTAAGGGTTATTGTTAAATCCAGTTAGAAGCAAAGTATTTATTGCTTCAGGAAACCATTGAGGTTATTCTAATTCCATTTAATGCCTTTTGGGTTGCATGGCACTCCTGTGACATTGTGGCTGTGCAGATTACTATGCAGTGCATCTAGATAATGAGGTGACCTACTGTAGCTCCAAGTAGGACTACCTGGTCCAGCTGTAGAATGCCCAGGAGTTGACCCTAAATGCTACAAAGTGTTAATAGGCTAGGGGGAAAATATTACCTGGTACCTTGGGCAGAGCTTAATATGGCTCCGTTTATGACGTCATATGATGTAGGGGGTGTATCCCTTATTCTGATTGGTCGAGGGGTTATGGCCATATATGGTATCATACATGCTTATGCCACGTGTTGCTGATAGGGGGGCATATGGTTTGGGAGATAAGGGTTGCCGTTAAACTTTAAGTCATATTAAACTCCGCCCAAGGTACCAGGTTATATTTTTTAGGGGAGTAGCATGTTATCTGTTATACCTACTGGGAGGAGGAAACGTGAGAGCACAGATTCATGTGGTGGAGGCCAACCAGAACTCTCTACAGCTCAGGACTAAAACGGAAGTGAGGTCCTTCCCTAGCCTTGTGGTGTGGTATAAGAAATTCATCACAGACTTTGCCAACATTGCAGTGCTCATTAATCAACCTGAGCACAAAGACTGATAAAAAAAATAAAAAATGGTATATACCAGTGCATGTGATGAAGCCTTTAATACTCTTAAGGCATGTTCATGCTCATTCCACATTCCGAGAAATTCAGATTTTAGCAAAAAGTCACACCCTGAAGCAGAAGAAGTATAGCCTTTTCTTTACACATCATACACCAAATTCTCCATGACAGGAATGGAATGCTGTGCCGTAAAGTGGGCTGTGGACCATCTAAATTATAAATTATCTCTTGGGAAGGGAGTTCAGTCTAGAGATTAACCACAGTAACCTCACATGGATTCAGACCATAAAAGATCATAATAGCTGGGCCTACTGCTTCATTAGCTGACACAGAGACGGTAAAAAGAATGTGGTTGTAGACTGACTGTCCATATTTCCACTCTGAGGCAACCATGAAGAGGAGGGAGGCAATGTGGGAGAGGTCTGTAGATGACAGTGGATGGCAAGATGCCAACCCTGTCTGAACCATCAAAATGAAAATCCAAAAGTCCAAAGCATTTGCTACCTTTCAAGACACTGTTTCAGTTTTTAAAATTCCCTGTTATGTCTTTTGGGTTGAATGGCGTATTTGTAACATTCTTGCGTCACACGGATACATGCCTGTGAAAATAACTGAGCAGTATACCAAGATAATGTAGTGATCTATAATAGTCATTCACAAACACTCTTATTGGTTAATGGTTAAGTGATTTTACAATAAACTTTAGTAGCTTGATTATTTTAATGTACTTGTCTTACTTGATGTTTCGTTTTGTATAACAAGGCGGAATTAAATGCATGCTTATTGTGCTTGGTTTTCCACATAGAGGATGCAAATCCAAGTGCAAATCCACTACATTTAAGCTGGCTTCTTATGGCCAGTTTTCAGCTGCACATGCGTGGTCACCTACCTGCTTGTGGTAGTCCATTTTAGCCAGAGGTATATCGGGATAAGATCATTTGAAAGAAGTGAAAACAAAATACCTTTTTCTGTAATTACTAATTTAGGTTTATACCACAACACTCTTTAATTGTCAAATCTGATTGGTCAGAATGATGACTAATTTTCTATAACCGGCAACATAGTGCCATTCAGGCGAGTCACAGTAGTAAATCAATGCGCTAATCAATGTGTTAAAATTTTTAATTTTAACTAACGTTACTTAAAATTCCAGACGTAGAGCACAATTAAAAATTAAACTAAGTGCTTTTACACCATGAATTCACACATCTGAAGGGTGTTCATTAATTTTCGTTCACATGTAATGCCAGCCAGGCCAATAACATCAATAAATCGATGCGCAATTATAATTTTTATTTCCAACTATTATCACTTCATACTGTAGGAACTATAAAAGCAAAGAAATTGATACCAATGACTTACACAACAACCATACTTCTGGTTTGTACATGGCCTTTGGGTAGGAAATTTCGAACTACCAACTAACTTATGACCTTAGTAATAAATTATTTTCGAATTAAAGGCGGTGGCTTGGGTCACACATAAGTAAAATATATAATAGTAGTAGGCTTGGACGGTATCTTATTTTTCATACCGCCCAGACAGGACACTATGGTATATGGTTTTTCGACAGTATTTTAAAAAGCAAGGGTATTCTACTATTTTAAAGTTTTGGCAACAAAATTCGCTATGCAGGAGGAACTGCCAAGAAAAAGTTTCAGTGAAAGAAAATACCACGGTATGCTGTGGTGCTGTAATACTTCCCAAGCTTAAACAGTAGTAATACTAATAAATGTGTTTTCATTTCTTTAAAGTGAAAATGTCTTCAAATACAAATGTGTACGCCAAATGTTTAATAACTGTGATATAAGCAGAGTAATGCATTCCAGGTCTTGCATTATATCATGGGCGGGGAACCTGTTCCATAGAGCACCGATCTGAGTGAGGGTTTTTGGGATGGCCTCTCAATCAGCCAATAACAGTGGGTCCCCAGAATTGGAATTGACAACCACCGTTTTATTATTGGCTGATTGAGAGGCCATCCCAAAAACCCACACCCACACCGGCCCTCCATGGAACAGGTTTGCTACTCCTTCATTATATGTTTTTAAACACTCTCCACACCCCTGCATATTCAATCCATGACTGAAAAGGAATGTCCAATCTGTGCATTAAACATTTTTAAACGTACTCAGCTGCACAGCGTGTGGATCTCTTTACCTCCATAGCCTTAAAATAGCATAATGCATTTTCTTTGGTTCTGTAATATACAAGACATCACTGCGGAGTTCTGTCTTTGTTCTATGGCCAGGGAGCAGACTTATATATTGTACATAACTATATATAGCCCCTACTGATTGTAGTGGAATGCTGGAATAAATATAGGTGGTTTGCCTTTGTGGTTGAAATCTATGCTTCATTTTGTCATCTTGTTTGTATAGTCACTGTAAATAATGTTTTTTTCTGTATGTTCATGAGAATTCTGGGGATAGCGATGCATAATGGTTATATCAGTGCCACTACGATTTTATCTATTTTTTCAAACATTTCATTGTCAAAAGCCTTTGGATTATTATTCCACACATCACCACAATGACCAATGGCATCAGCTCTAAGGCAAAGAAGAACATAATGGATTCACAGAGGGGAAAGTTACTTTATCGATGTATTTAATGTAAAGCACATGCACAAACCCAGCCTATCCTGTAAACTGTATTTGATATGTAATTGATTCTTTTATATACAGTTATCCCTCAATGTTTTGCAGGTATCAGACCTCTTGTTATAACCATTTTGTTAATTCAGTTGTACATTATACACCATGATACTCAACAAGCTCTGAAAGCTACAGTAAGCACAAAGATGTTTTCATCAAAGGTATCTAAGAATAAATTACTCACCATTCAAAGTCAGACTCGGTGCATTCACAGGGTTCTGACGCCATGGTGACAGAGTAATCTTTGCCCATAACACACCTGGCTATAGGCTTCAGCTTCTGGTATATCCTTTTCACTCCCATGATACATGGCTCTCCCTGGTACAGATGTATATAAGAAACAGATGTTGTTCAAAATGTTCCTCATGTAATTACTCTTCAAGTTACTTCCTTGGTCTAAGTACTAAATAGTTCATATTTGCTTAGGAAAATAAAGACAGTAACTACTGCCTTTCTATTTCAAACTTTATTTTACTTGTTTTGGTAAGGATGTTTTCAGTTCACTGCATGCATATGTATTACGATGGGTCATTTTTGAGTTTGTAAAACTGACACAATGTGAGATGGATATTGTTCATTGGGTAAACTTTTTTTTGTAAGACCAAGAAACTCATACATCTTAGTTATGTATGACTGGGTATTTATAAAGAATGCTTTACATTCGTCACATTTACGTGTAGGTTGTGTAGAATACTAATGTAATGACACATTTATTCAAGAAAATTCTGCAAAAAAACAGCCAGGAAGCAATATTCCCTTTTTTTGATATAGACTCTTCCAGAACAGTGTCACTGTCAAAAAAGTTGTTGAATATTTTCACCTGGGGAGACAGTTTTGATCTAAAAGTTTTAAATTCTCTACATGTATGGATTCCTCTGCAGCCAGGTGACAATAACCCACCCTTCCATTAGAGTGTCGTATCTGGGGCAGTTTTGCACTGTTAGGTTTTTGCTGATACCTGTTTTGCTCCTCTCTTCTGCATACGATTTAATATGAGTTTCGAAATGTGTCATTATTCTACTGCATTGTTTTTCCAGGTATTGCAGCAATGCATGAATATGTATGTGTGTGTGTGTGTGATCTTGATCTTTAAGAGAAACCTCTATCCCTTTGAGATTTTGCCATGTTTAAAGTGCCGGGGATGCCACATAAAGAATCACGAGCTACCAAATTGATACACTTGGTAACTACAATTTGTATTGAAGATCAAGATTTGTGAAAAACTACTGTAGTTTGAGTCATCAGTTGTAATGTTTCTATATTTCTCAGCTGAACTTTTTACACTGGTCCCAATTTACACAATGACCACATTTTCTACTATGGAAGGCAAACACAAATCACTCCCACAATATATTCAGTGTGGGTATGTAGACTACCCTGTTTGAGGACAAGAATTTATTTTGAGATTTATTACAAATATTACATTTTAATTTTGGTGTTTACAGCTTCTGGATGTGTAATTACCAAACTGTTATTGTAATTGTGTTATTGGATACCCTTGCTGGGACTGTGTATAACTAGACTAATTATTATTTGTGCATCTAATCCACTTACTTGGGAAAACTGAATCCATGTGTCATAGAGGGAAATTCTCACCTGGTTATGGAGATGCCATGTTTGATAATCCCCCTCTGTACATCTCCTATTGAAGATGGATCTGAAGTCAATTTTGACAAGCTGCCACTCAGAGCGATGGGTGACATGGCCGAATATTCTACAAGAAGGAATATTTTCATTTCAATCTCCAGATCTCCAAGATTAAAGTTTAACATTTAAGCAGTTTTAATATTTTGCTAAGTGTCTGCTGCTCAGATACATACTGTAATTTTTCCTGATTTTAAATAAATTCAGATGGTTCGGTGTACAGTATTTACCCACACCTGTTATTCTGCCTGCCTGGTATCTTCCCTATCTCTGTTCACTACTCTTCATTGAAAGTTGAAGAATGCTGACTTTCTTGACGTTTTACCTGCCACTGCTGAATACCTATCTCTGAGTTTTCAACTGACCACATCTAAAAATGTTTGGCCGTGATTCCACACGAGCATTTCCTCAATTTGTTAAAAAGTGCAACGTTGCTCACTGTAACACATCTGCTGAACCACCTTTGGCTTCCGATCTTCATTTGCATGGCCAAGGTGGTAGGAATTATCTCCAAGAACACTTCCTCTGCCAGTAAGTTCCCTGGTGTGCGTTCTATGGCATGCATTTCCATTTTTCCCCTCTCCACACAAGTCCACATGATATCCCGGCATTACACAAGGTATCTGGATTCTCTTTGCCTCTGATTTTCGCACAGCCAGCATTTGCGTATTGCACCTGTTCTGTTGAGCCTTAGCATAGTTGTAAACGGAATGATTATCTTCCAAATACTGCTGACTTGCCATCTGATTGTCATTCTAGAAAGCTACCTGAGTAGTTGAGTAGTTTTAGAAAAGGACTCTTTTTGAAATTTCCCACAACCATCTACTGTATAATTATTGTACATTTGACAATATTGCTATATTTCTCTGTAATTACGGTTACCTCTGCCGGTCTAAGCTACCATTTGCATACCAACATTTTGTTTATTTCTATAGCAAGAATTCTATTACAACACATACATGATATACATACAACAGCACTAGCTTTAGCAGTTAGACTGCCCCCCCTCCCCCCCCCCCCGTTTTCCCACTGAACAACTTTTTACGTAAGGTATTTCTTTAATTTTTTGACCATCATGCTAAGGCTAGTTTGGCAAATTTTTGACATCAACTTCTTGTCAACCAGCCATGGCAAACTGGCAACAAAAGCATTCTCGGAATTTGCTGTCAAGCAGCCACAATGTGATATTTTGCCAGTGGGTGGCTCCCCTTGGTATATTTTGTTGCCAACAAGGGACTTGGCCCTTGGTACATTTTGCCACTCTCAATGATACTGCCAATGCCGACATTGGGGAAGAAAGACCAGGCCTCATATCAAGACCAGTCAATCGGGGGAAATTCCCAAATGTTCTGATGGCTAATTCGTGCCAGCAATTCTATTGATAAGTCAACAAGTTTCACTCTGCTTTTCTTCTCTTCTCTTTTACTCGGTTATCTGCTGAAAAAAAATATAACAAAACATCTACATGTATGTTGGAGACCCCAAATAAGCACCTGGATCCTTGAGAAGAACACTTATGTGGGAAGAATAAGGTAAAAACAGACTAGAAAGTGCTGAAAGTAAAATGGTTAAAACATTTTTGTGGGCTAAAAGTAATATATATTCTTTACATATTCACTTATAAATATTGTTCACATTCATGAAAGGGAAAACATGGATAATATATAGGTATTTTCTCGTTACAGAGAGTATGTTCAACCAACTTCTCCTTCCCAATTTAAGTCCTCATTTTTGGTAATCTTTTTCATGTGCTTTAGTTACTGGTTTGTAAGCCATTGATCTCTACTGATCAAAATGCTCTGGGAATGTGTTTTGATCTTTAGTAGACCTTGAATTTTATTCATGAAAGAAAAAAATGGGCAATAAGGGTTATTTTCCCTCCTTCATTCTCATAGGCTCACGCGTATGATTCAGTAAAGCCTTCAAAGTGCATTGAAATTACTGACTGACATAGAACAAAGTCACAGCATCAATATATTTATACCTCAAAACCCTTTCAATCTTAAACTGGCCATTGCCTTCAGACTCCCAGGAATCATCAATTTGATGAGGTAACCTTGCAGAAAAGTATTATTACTAGCCCATTACACTAGGCAGGATATAAAAGATGTTATGAGATTTAGTAAGTGTAGATTATGGCTGTACCTTGTTTTTAGTTTATCAATTTAGACAGATTATTACCTCAGTGCCTTGCAGATTCATTTCATTATTGTTTGGTATAGCTATTAATTTATATATAAATAAACAATGCAACTAACGTTAAATAAAAAGCATAATGAGCCCTTTTGAAGCAATTAAGTAGCTGATTATTAAGCAGGTATGATATCCAGGATATGTGAAATATGAAAACTTGTTGCATCAAAAAGCAGTTTAAAAATAAATGTGTTAACATAAATTAAAATTAATCTGGGCTATGAAAACACAAAAAACTGCATGGCCAGTTTGACATTACATTTTGACATAGTCATAAAAATTACAATTACATTCCAAAGTACTTATTATCATTGCAACACTTAATATGTTTGTCTTTGGTCTTTACTCTTCAACTTCCTTAAATGAGTAATACACTCCTTATTACTCTTCACTCACGTCATTATAAGTGTTTCCTCCCCTGGTTCTCCTAATACTCCATCCACAAAAAGAGGGGAAGTAGTGAAACTGTATTTGTTCCAGATTCTCCCTTCGTCAAAGCTCAGCCTGTAGGACAGCATAAAGAACACTTACTTGGTGTACCTTGTAACAATGCATTATATAATACCACCATATTATGCAAACTCAACAACGTGTATATGAAGAGATCTGTTTTGTTTGGATGTTACATGATGCACCACATTATTACAGTTTCATCATAAAAAGTGTAACTCCCACATTTTGGAATAACCACTGCAATAGGTAATATCCATCCATCCATCCATCAATTATCCAGGGTCAGATTGCGGGGGCAGCAGTCTAAGCAGGGATGCCCAGACCTCCCTCTCCCCAGCCACCTCCTCCAGCACCACCGGGGGAATACCAAGGCGTTCCCAGCTGAGAGATATAATCTCCCCAGTGTGTTCTGGGTCTTCCCCGGGGCCTCCTCCCAGTTGGACATGCCTGAAACACCTCCCCAGGGAGGAGTCCAGGAGGCATCCTATAAAGATACCTGAACCACCTCAGCTGGCTCCTTTTGATGCGGACAATCACCTGATTGTCCAAAACATACGAACACAATTCCAAAGATACGATTACAAAATCAATCATCAAGCTGCAGTCTAGGGTTGCTGTGATGCTCTTATGAACACCCTTATGTTCGAATATGATTGGGCAGGCCGTAGGTCTCACTGTCATTACCTACATGAGTGTTACAGTCTGCCAGTAGAACAATGGAGTCCCCAGAGGGGGTGCCTTCCAGCACTAGTGTCTCCAAGAAGGCTGGATACAGTCAGAGCCTGTCCCAAGACTTGAAGTGGATGGGAGGGGACCTTCTCGTTCACTGGGGTAAACTTGAACGTGCAGTTGCCAAACCAGGGGGCTATAAGTAGACCCCCACCTGCTGGGCACCCCTCACCAAAGGCAACTCCAGAATGGAAGAGAGTCCAGCCTCCCTCCAGGAGTGCAGTTCCAGAGCCCACACTGTGTGTTGACGTGAGCCTGACTGCATCTAGTTGGTATTTCTCTACCTCCTGCTCCGGCTCGGGCTCCTTTCCCACCAAAGAGGTTACATTCCATTTCTCTAAAGCCAGATTTGATCGCTGACGATCGGTCCACCCAGGCCCCTGCCTTCAACTGCTCCCCAATCTATCCTGCACCCAACCTCCACAGCCCCTACTGCAGATGGTGAGCCCACAAGAGGGCGGACTCATGTTCTTCTTTCAGGCTATGCTCCCCCACCCCAGGCCTGGTTCCAGGATGGGGCCCCTGTCTCCCCAATCCGGGCGGGGTCACATCGTTCTTTATGGTATTCATCATGGGAATCTATATGAATTACATCTGGGGGACTGCGGGGAAATTGACTACATATTGCGTTCAAGCTGCCTATTAAAAAGTTCAGCAGATTATTACAAAATGCAGGAGCTATTACTTAATAAAGAGAAAATTCATTCAAATTTGTCGAGTTATTAAATAATGTGGTGTTATATCATATTGTGCTGTTACATATCAATTTTCAATAACTTCATATAACTTCAACTTTATATAAAATAACCACAATCTAATTACAAAAAATTACATCATGCACATTATTATTTTTATTACCAGAGATGTCTGATGGGAAGTGGAGTATGTCTGATTGCCACTAAAGCACCACCTTGGTCCAGATATAGCACACTGTACTCTTCCTCAAATATCTGAAAGTTAATAAATGATGAAACTGTTAGGATAGTAATTTAAAAAAGGTGGTTTACAGTATCAAATTTCATTACAAAATTCTCAATGTGTGTGTCCAAATTGTCAATACAATTTAAAAATGTATGTGGTGATATACAAAGGTACTGTATCTATAAAAAGAATTCACAATGACAGAAGTGCATCTAAAAAAGTTACAAAATGTCTGCATTAACAGTTGGCAATAATGCCTTATCATCAATGCCACTGACCCATATAAATGTTTAAACAATGTTATGAAATGCCTGAAACAGCTGTGCTCAAACATTGTTTGGAAATTGTTTTCTATAATTGAGTTGTACGGTGATTTATGAAGCAGCTTTCTGCAGCTTTCACTTTAACATAATTAAAACATTAGTGTGGAAAATGTTGGGATATTTTTATAAGTCAAGGTATGCCGTTGCATTCAAAACTTTGCAGGCTGAAATCCACAGGCATTCAGCCTGATTGTGAAATGAATAACGCTTTATTCAATATAATGCATCACAAAGCAACTGGCACACTAGGCTGAACTCATTCAGAATGCAAGCCTTGCATGAGCTGCAGTGCCGATGTGTAATTAAGTTGCGTCTGTGTTTGTTTACACAATTACACAGTATATAATTTCCAGCTCTCTTACCAAATCTGGAATCATTATTAAATGTTATAAATAGTTATATTAAAACTTTTAAAACAGACATAATTTAATGCTCATCAACACTAAAATAACATGCTTTTTAAATTGCATTTGAACATTCTTTCCGAAGAACAGTGAGACACATTTGGTTTGTTGCAGCTTCTAAAGTTTATATAAGCATTACACAAACCTATTGGTACAGCACCTAAGACATGTTTTAGCCTTCCAGTGTATAACAGACTCACAGCAGGAATTAAAAAGAATTTAAAAAAGTCCAAGCCTATCCTTTCCCTTTCCCTTACCTGTCTCCATGTGTTTCCAGCATCTGATGTTATGAACATACTGACATTATTGGTTGTCAACTCTGCACCAATGGATCCTGGAAAAGAAGGCAGTTCTTCATCTCATTTAAGCATGGAGATTATATTAACTTCATTAACCGTGTAAATAAAATCATGAATATATATGAATGAATATATAAGCTTTCACAGTAACGGATCATAATTGCATTTAATTATGCAACATTGTTTCATGTAACTCCCCATTGGTAATAAGAAAGCAGGACAAGAGAGGGGTGATGAAATGACAACATCATTGTACGAGCAAACTCTGAGACACAGATACGTTCTCTTTGTCACAAATTGCATAGCAACCAATTTCATAGGATTTGGAAACTTTATTTTTTTTAACTGAAAGCTTTTGTACAATATTATGCAGTTATTTTATAAATGTATAATTACTGGAGCAGTATAAATAAAATCCTTCACAAAATGATATGTGCCTGGACCAGCTATGCTTTATGGAAGCCCAGTCCAGGGGCGAAGCACCAGCTTGCAAATTTCCTTCTTGCAAGACACAGATTACGATGAGTAATGTGAGGTTCTCTCACAGCCAAATCCCAGTCACCAGGTGCTTGGTATTCTTCCTGTAGCATAGAGGTGCTCAGCCGGATGAAACTCAAGCCTCTCTCTACCTCGAGGATATGAGCTATGGGTTCCTGGAGACCTACCCCCAGGAGAACTGTGGACCCAGGTGAACCCAGGTGCTGTACAGAATACACTAAATAAAAGGCACTGTGCGGTTAAACAAAAATAGATTAACGACAGTAGCCTGCTATAACTACTAATGTGAACAAGGAATGGTGAAGGTCATTGTCATGCCCTGCTCATCCGATCCTCCCGTGTGCCATGCCCCCTAGTTACCTCATGTGGAATCCGGAAGTCACCAGCTGTTTCCAGTCATGTTGATTAACCCTGTGTATTTAAGTTCACGTTAAAGTATAATTCCCCTGTCCGGTCATTGATGTTATGTGGTTGTCTCCCAATCGTGTCTTTCTTGTGATTAAACCTCATATTCTCCCGACACCTCAAGTTCTGCCTCTGCTTCCCCAGTATGTAACAGAATGATCAGACTCAACAAGAACACGCCGGCGAAGCAGGAGGCTCATCTGCCCGCAGCAGGCGATGCTCCAGCTCCCGTAGTTCATGTCCCGGTGGTTCCTGCACCGGCCCCTACAGTTCCTGTCCTGGTTCCTGCTCCCGACCCCCCAGTTCCTGCTCCCGATCCCCCGGTTCCTGCTCCTGCCCCATTGAACCCCTCCAGTGGGTTACTCCAACCGTCACCTCATCGCGGCAGATCCCGGCTGGGTCCTTGTCTTTCGGTCTCCTGGAGAGGAAGAGGACACCTGTGCCGGGGTCGGGTCCCGCCCTCCCTGCCCCCCCGGCTCGCTTTCGGTCCCCCTTGCTTTGGCTTGGTGGTAGCCTATGGCTCCTCCGGCTCCTGCTCAGCAGTTGTCTGTGGTCCCCCTGGCTCCTGCTCGGCAGTCACCTATGGTTCCTCCTACAGTGCCTTGTTGGCTGGCTGCGGTCCCACCTCCAACACCTTGTCAGTCTCCTGCAGGTTCCCCTGCTCCGACTTGTCGGTTACCTGCGCCTTCGCCTGCCATGGCTTCTGCTTCTACCTCGCCTCCTCCATTGTCCCCTCCACCTTCCTCCTCGCCCCCTTCGGCATCCCCGCTGGCTCCTGCTTCACGGTCACCGAGGGTCCTGTGGCCCCTGCGGCTCCCGCCTTCCACCCGCCGGGGTTCCCTCCGGCTCCCTGGTGCCCCCCGCCCTTTGCCTCCTTTCCCCCTGTGTTTGCTCCCCATCCCTCTGTCCCGCTTTTGTTGCCTCCTGGTCCCTTTGGTCCTCTTTTCGTCAGTGTGCCACGCTGTCATCCCTCCATTGTTCCCATCCTTGGTGTCCCTGTTCGTGTCTGCATGGTTTTCCTTGTTCCTGTTCGGTGTGTCCCTGCCATTCCCCGTGTTTCATTGACGTTTCTTGCTTTTGTTTTTCCAGGTCCTGTGCCATCCCTGGTTTTGCCCCCTTGGCCCCGTTACGACTGGGCTGGGCCCAAATTGCGCACCTTTTGGGGGGGTGGGTGTAGTCATGCCCTGCTCGTCCGATCGTCCTGTGTGCCATGCCCCCTCCTTACCTCGTGTGGAATCCCGATGTCACCAGCTGTTTCCAGTAATGTTAATTAATCCTGTGTATTTAAGTCCGCGTTAAAGTATGTTTCTCCACTACAGTCATTGACGTCATGTGGTTGTCTCCTTGTTGTGTCTTTCCTGTCGTTAAACCCCATATTCTCCCAACACCTCGAGCCCTGCCTCTGCTTCCCCAGTATGTAACAGTCATACATTTATGCTGGAATTTTTGCTTATTTTATTTACTAATTAAGTAAAAGGCAGAAAGAATTTATGAAAATACAAATAACAACATGGACACCAATCCCTTTCCAGGTTTCTTTTGTTGTACAAAAGAATGGAGTAGAGTGTCTTTTCAGGTGGAAGGTGCAGGATTTTTACACACCCGATGCCACAATGATACCAGGCGCTGAGTCTTTGCTGGCTATGGTTCCAGATGTGTACGGATTCTCCGATACATGAAGATGTAAGTGCAGCGAGCAGTACGGCTGTGAGAGACACATATGGTAATGAGACAAGAAAAGGGAGGCAGGGAAGTACATCACAAACGTATCCTGAATCCTCAGCACATTACATTTTAGCAATTAAATTAAGTGAGAAGTTTCAGAAGATCACATAAACCTACAATCATGTACATTGTTGTTCATAATATCAGTTTTTAAAAGTAGCACAATGTAAGCTGAATGACAACCATTAATACTAGTAATAAAAGAGAAAATTGACAGTTTTTTTCTGAAGTGCTCCAATAAAATTGTTATTTTATATAGCCATCGTTCTTGAATTGAAGAATTTAGTGGTGGACCCACATTAAATATGCCTTCAAGGAACTTAAAAGTCAATTTGGAACAGCATGCCCAGTGCAAAGGAAACGCTTTGCAGGATGGTGTGGAAAAAAAAGAAACTTACCTAACATGCTCTGCTATCTTGTTACAACCTTTTTTCCTTGTTATATAAAGAGGTACTCGGGGAATATCTAAGAAACTATGATGTATTGCCTCATTGTGTTAATCTGAGACGATCATTATGTGGGTAGTCGAAGAAAGAATTGTTGCAAAAAATCCTATTATGTGTTCCACAAGGCCAAAAACCTAAACCAATTAGTTTACCTAAACAAGCTCCTCTAATAAAAAGTTGAAGCCTAAAAACAGCTGTTATACTTAGAACTCATTAAAACTTTAAAAACCTTGATGCCATTTTCATGTTTGAATTGGAGTCAATCTGCCCCTTTCAGAATTCTGATTGCATCACTGACCTTTTGCTCTTTCCTGACAAGACAAACGAGTAGCCACTGTTTTCACAGAAATCAAGCTACTAAAAACACGTTTAGTTATAAAATCTCCATTTGAAACACAGCATGTAAACTTCATACAGGGAAAAAAATGCAAACGATTAATTTTAAAAGTAAAAGCAATAATGAAGTAATCAGAATCCTACCTGACCATTCAGGAAGCTGTTAAAATGTATCTATGTGGATGTTCCAGATTTACAGGAAACATCCACTTGAGGACACATCAGTCTTTGGCGGAATCTTTATACTGCATAAATATGACTGTTCCTTTTGAAATCATCAATGCCTGAATCATTCAGATATGGTGAAAAGGATTTGACAAGTGAATACTTACCAGTATGCAGTGAATGCTATTCCCCCTAAGGTCTGTAACAGGGGCTTGAAGTAAACGCCAGTCTCTGCCTTTGTTGTAGGTGATATAGGTCTTCACTTGGTTATCAAGCTTTTTGTTTGCCAAGAACATCCCTTTTATCCCTGCTACCTAGGAAAATCGAAAAAGCTGAAAAATGAATCAGTCCTAGATAATTTTAGAAAGGCAGCAGGAAAGTAAATGCCATGTGTTTAGAACGGAAATAGGAATGCATTCTTCCTTAAGGTGCATGTCAGTTTCGAAATTATCCATATTTTGTCGCTTTACAGGGGTGCAAAAGTGACAATTCCGGGAATTTACACCGTTCCATCTCGCCGATCTGCATGAATGATTGTTATTAAGGGAGGAAATTAAAACGTATATTGAATAATGAAAATGCATGTGAAAATATAACGTAAAAAATGAACAGTAATAGTAATACTCCAAAAAGCAAAAATTGAATGAAACATTCATGCAGTGAATTTCAGACTAAATCACATAAAGGTAAGTAAGCCTCATTTATGACTTTGGCCATGAGAGTTATATTTTAGAGGAATCTGCCTATTTGCATGCTTTGAATGATGTGAAAAACTTTAAATTTTGAACTTTGAACTTAAAATTCACAAAAATACAGCCTCCACACTACAACAACATAAAATCATTTTACCATCAATCAGTTAAATAAGTGACTATCCAATAGTTCTAATACCTTCATGACAGAAAATTTGATCAAACTCAGAGGTCACCTATAGCGGCATTTCCCAACCCGGTCCTCGGGGAGCCCTAGATGGGCCACATACATTTTCCCCCGTTCCAGCTCCCTGCCAGACAGTCCAATTTTTTGTCGGAGCTGGGAGGGAGCAAAAACGTGGACTGGCCGGGGGTCCCTGAGATTCAGATTGGGAAACATTGACCTATAATATTGGACAATAAAAGATCAATGACACAGAACAGTTCATCTTCTGGTGAATTGACAATGAGCCTTAAAGCTACATACCTCATAGAGATCAATCATGACATTGCCTTCTGGCCCCATGCTGCTCATCACGCTCTCCAGCGCCAGGGTGAAGTAGACCCCCCGAGCCTCTGACACATACAAGTTGTAAGTGTCGTTCTGGTTCCACTCCTGCACAGCAGCCACTACCCGATTTTCATCGGTGCTGATAACATGTAGATCCTGAAAAGCAAAGCTTCTCAGTCTCAGGCATCATTCCTGCCACAGATGACTTGAATTTAAATGAGAAATGTCATCACAGGTCAGTCAGACCTTTAATGAACAGCCCTGAGTGGTGTCATGTTTTATGTGTCATCTTTTAATTAAAACTACATATGATATTTGTTAGTTTGACACAACTTGAAGATAAAAAAAAACACACAAACAAAAATGCTTAAATATTCACCACATAGTGGCAACTATGTATTTTTAACTTACTAAAAGTTACACAATATTTATTGTTTTTTTAAACACCAATAGTGCAAAAATATCTGTTGAGCCTCCTTCTTAAATTTAAAAATAACAATTTCAGTAAAAAACTAAATCACCATATTAGTATTGTTTTTAGCATATGAATCAATAAAGCATTCACCGCATTCGTGGATCATTAGGAATCTGAGTTTGTTTTACTAAAGTATTCACCGACAGGTCACACTATACTGTTAATACAGTCAACAAAAAGAAGAAAGAATGGAAATGATTAGATATAGAATTAAATGTGATATATTCAGTCAGTGTAATCATTGTATTTTTTCTCTCACTTAGGGTACAAGAAAGAAAATAAAAGCAAAACAAAAAAACATAATTTAAAGAAGTCATCCTGTGATGACATTTACTCCAGAAAGACTGTATAGTTAATATATGAACTGTAGAAGTTTCAAGACTTTACAACAGGGTCATATTTGAGGAGTATCAAACCCACATAGCCAAACGTGTATTAAATACAGAAGATTCCAAGATAGGCTCTCGAACCCTACAAGCCTACATGTACCAAGACAAGTTGGTATGGATGGATGGATGGAATCAATATTTAAGTGCAAACTACTACCTATTATTTTTTGGAGTCTCTGTGCCTGTGTCATGTAGATTTAATAGCTTACCTTTGGCAAAGCATACTTCGGCAACTTCATAGGTACAAAGACGTCTCTTTTATAAGACACATAGTAGACCGGCCGACCTCCTGTAGATACCTAGGTGGGCAAAGAAGATGAGCCAGTTACAAAAATAAAAGCCAAAAAATATCACATTTACAAATGGTCTGTGGATTTTAATTTCCGCAGCTGGATGTTTAATAACTAGTGACTATCATAATCCAATTTTTTTCATCATAACTTGATTTATTTAGAAGTTCTCATCTACAGTCTTGTTTGACCCCCATTACTCGCCAATTACATACCTGAACGAAGACATACTCATCCTGAACCACAAGGGAATTGGGGTCAATATACCCTGGAAACGGTTTGCCTTTGTTGGCCTCCGAGCAGTTCTGTAGTTTGCAGGTGACATATTGAGCCCCTGCAATAGATTCGGAATGAATCATCATATCAGAAAAGTGCAAAGCCAGTCATGACATTCAGACAGAATCTGCCTTTAATCCCGTCAATAACCTGACAGCAAAGAGCAAGAGCTAGACGAGAAAGGCCAATCGCTGGCTTTTCACTAAACACCAGAGCGGAGGGAAATGGGCCTAGTATGTTCGTCTCAGCTAACTATTTCCCCCGAGTCCCATGATCAATAGTGATCACCATGCGCAGTAGGCATTCACCTTGACAGGCTGCTTTGAACAGATGCTGTGAGCCGTCCTACGGCGCGTTTGCTGTCAGGCACATGGTTTTCAAAAGGATCGTCCATTACAAGAAAGGATTTCCTGAACATTAAACAGGCATTTTACACTAGGAGGGTGAAGCGGAATCATTAATGATATGAATAACAGCAGAACCGCCTCATTTAACTTTCAAAAACAAAAGCAGCGCCTAACATCACCAGTGTTTAATACGTGCATAAAGATGCACAACTCACTAGAGACACGTTAAAAACAACAACAAAAAAAATGAAAAACAAGAGAAGATGAAATTAAGGTCAAATAAACTGACCTACCCCCAAACATTTCGGATCTCTTACAGGAAACTCAACTTAGATATAATTCCTCATTCGTTTTGCTTTTTTTCTCCCCAGAAATACAGTAAGTAAGTATGATGTCAAAAGGGTGGTTAGTTAGAACTAAATATCTCGCTTCTTTGCTCGCTGTATCCATGTGAGCGGGTGGAAACTAAAGAGGGCACCGCATTTCTGAATAACAAGGAAGTGATACTGAAGGAACAGGGGAGTAGAAGGAATAGTGAGGCTTAAGCTACTTTTATTATAATTAAGAATAATTTGTACCTATTTAATGGATGTTATATCACATACAGGTTGAGATAACCTATAAATAAATAAATATAATTTAATAATAATTTTAAAGATCTATTAATATGCTACAAAATCTAGTGTACCTAATGAATACCCTAGATGTGCTATGTGACAGCATAATCTAATGAAGAAATGATATTCTTTGAATTTGCTGCACTCAGTAAGGGTCTTAGGAGAAAATAAGGGGACCTTAATGACTGCAAAAGACCAGTATCTATGCTCTACCCAAGCAGCAATGATCTAGCTTGACAGCTGTGTTACCAGCGCTGTAACCTCTATTAACTGGACTAGTACAGAGTTAAGAAAGTGAACTGGGCAGGCTAAATAAAACAGCATCGCTGTCTGCAAATTGGCCATGGGCTCAGCTCACATTAAAAATACTTTAAAAGAGGAAAAACTTTTACTGATGAAAGTTATTCATTATGTAAAATTATGTGATATTGATCACTTGAATCTGTAATGCTTGCTGTACATATATTATATCCGAATTGTGGGCCATTGCATATATAGTCTTACTAAAGACTGGGGTATAATGAAACAATTCAGCTCACTTCATATACATCTACATCGAATGAAATCCTTTATATAACAGGCCATATTGGTATGGCACCAGCAATGTATAATATCAACATTGATCACTTACGTCCTTCTGAAATACTGGTCTCCAGATGAATTAGGCCAGATTCTTTGTCTAACGTTGTTTTCGACCTAAAGATGGGTGAGAAAAGAGCGTGTATAATATGCATTATTCATTCAAAATAGACAGGAGCCTTAGATAGGAAATGTCATATGTCAAACGGGATGAGAAAAGTTCCAGCAATCAATCATTTTATAAACATACAATGCCAAGCCTACAAAACTATAACGATAATGCTAATAATTAATCACACTTAGTGTACATGTATCATTTATGAATTTAGCTTCAGTCTGCTTTCACGCCAGACAAAACAGCCAAAAATAAGTTACTGGGGGAGAAAACGTAATTAAAAACACATTAGAGCAGGGAAATTATCTGTGGTCTAAAATAAAAAATGTAGACAGATAAAATGAGAGCAGAAAAGACGTATCTTCAACTTTGCTAGGATTCTCATCTTGCTATGTGTCATGCTTCAAAGTGACACTAGACAAGGCACTAACTTTCTACCTCCAGGTCAGACTACATTTTTCATCACAAGTGAGGTTTTCTCTTCTTTCCTTTTTGTGTCATGCTAGTCATTTGTGACTTTTCAGACTACGAGTCTTTAAAATTCCATCTAAATTACAAGTGAAATAAGGATGTGCAAAGGAATCCTACATTCAGTGCCTCACAAGCTATACTCATGTTTGGTAACGTTTGATAACTTTTTTGGAGATGGTTATCAAGTAAAATATTAAATAAATGGTAAAACCAGCAAGCGGCCAGTGGAGAGAGAAGTGACCTTGTTACCAGTGGGCTACTGATTTAAATCGAACTCTTTGTTTTACATTATATCTGAAGATATACTTTTGAATATTTACAAATGTAAAGGCTGAAAAATACAAAGCACAAAAAGAAGGGGGTACACCAAAAATATGAATATATAATACAGACTACATAATTTATGAAGTAGACTGCAGTGAGCACTGCTTATCATTACTGAGCATACATTTTTTTTGTAGAACTTTTTCACTTTCCTTGTAGAATGTTTTAAGGAAGTGTGTGTATATACAGATATGTGTGTCTGTGCAATGAGTGTGTGTGTGTGTGTGTGTGTATGACTAATGAAAAAAATCAGAAATATTACAATCTGATACAAGTATGAAGTCCAATTAATAACAGAACTGAGATAGCAATTATTAATAATAATAATAATAATACAAAGAAGAAGAAGAATGTATTCTTCATTGGTGACCATTGTGAAAAATAAATATATAACATATATAACATATCTATCTATCGGTTTCCACAAATTTTAGCTGTAGTGCTGCAGCTTATGGTAAATCTTACACCTAAGAAGGATCTCCCCAGGCTTCGGCTCTGTTGCTTTGTAGCTAGTTTGACAGTTCCGCAGGAATGACACCAATACAGCTCTTTTAAGAACGTATGCCAGTGGTGTTATAAATAACTTGGTTTGACATGCTCAGTCTCTCAGACATACGGCCAGCTTTGTATGAAGTACATGTAGTAGAAAAAAACGGAAAAGCAGGGAGGAAATGTTTTGAGAAAAAGTCATACGTAAGGCTAGGTACATTATTAGCATGCATGCAACTAGGAATTATGGAAGTTTAAAATAAGAAGCAAATGGGTCAATGCTGTCAAAAGAATTTATTAGAGTAAGGCAATATGAAAGAATGAAGATCACTAATTTAAGGTGAGAAAAGATCACCCATCCCAAATATCTGATCAGTGAACATATTCACTAATGAGCTAAAACGTGATCACCGCAGATCACCAGCCTGTCCCTGGTATCAGAGTCAGATTTACACACATATGAACCCAATAGAGGTAGCTTAAATTCACTATTTATTGACAGGTTTGTTTTAATTGAAAGTCCAATTTGGAGAAGTCTTTAAGGTTATGTATATCATTTTTCAGATATCGCGAAACAAATTATTTGTGATAAATATTGTGATATTTATAAAGCAAAAAAAGGAAGGAAATTTCTCACAAACCCGCCTATGAGTGATTTAAACAGCAATGATGAAAATCATTATGACTGGCTCAAAGAAAGCATTCAGAGCTCATGCAAAAGCAGTGACCAAAATTTCAAAACGCGTTGTTTTTGAAAGTACATATACTGCAGTATAAAGCCCAGACAGTATGAAGGTATGAAAATGCCTGAACTCAACCCAGCTGAGTAACGTGATTGTCGCAATGTGAGAACTGCATGTGCGTAACATGCAATCTCGAAACGAATATTGCATATCGCCCAGCTCTCACTCGTTCGCTGTGCATACAGAGCCTGCATAACACTCACTAGAAACAAACTCAGTGTATCCAAAAACCCTTAAATCGAAGTAAATTATATCAAATGGACTTTTCTTTAGATTAGCCATAGAAAATGAGAGCCGTGAAAGCTGAATTTGCCTTACGTAACATCGTACGTCCTGCCATGTGACTATTGTCTACGTGCACATCGCGATGATGATATATTGTGTACCCCTCATTCACAACACGCCCCCTTCAGTGAGGTAGCTGTCTTTCCTGCTGCTTTTTTATTGCGGTTTTATGACGAGACCAGTAAGCATAAATATCTTTATACACACGTGAAGAAAGTTACCTAGATTATGGAAGATGAAGGCATGTGATGAAGGGGTCTACAGACATTACATTGGTGATTTACGGTACATAGAGAAAAAAACAGGCACACGCTTATTGCCCATACTCCGCCGATTTCGACTGTGTAATATGGTTACGGGGAGCTAAGGGGAGCTTGGCTCCACTGAGAAGGCCACGAGCTTCCTCGAATGCCTCCAATGTGGCCTTTAGGGGGAGCTATACAAAAATTGGCCACTTCATGTTATAGCCGATATTTTACTTTCCGTACATTAAGGTTCCTGAAATGTATTGCTCAATACATTCCATTTTCCAAACATTTGTCTCCGGCTTACAGAATTTTGTGTCTGTTGTGCCTACATGAAATGTTACTTACGGTATTAGCTGCCTGCAATAGTAATAGTAGAATGTTTCTCGCAGTAACCCTGTTACCGACCGCGCTCCTGCACACTTATATGTATGCGCCTGCATGCGACTTGGGAAGGCGTGATACACCCAGGTTCACTGAGCTCCTTATATTAACTATTATTAAATATTTATTTATTTATTTTTGTCAACGTTATTTTCATTGGAGCATGACATGTGAGACTGTGCCTTCCCTGGCCACATGTCCATTGACCACCCCAAGGTGAAGCAGATATTGTTGACTGACTAAGCTAACAGTGCTCAAAGACATGCAGAATAAATGGGTAGGGATGAAGGTCTGAATGACGTTTTCAAGGAGCAAATTATTACGGCCAAACAAGAGGTTACAGCAAGTCCCCTGGGGGTGGGGGGGGGCAAGGCTTGTGGGTGATCATGGCCAAACACGGTGACTATTTACCGTGATCTGAGGAGGGAAAAACCCTGACCCTCCATCTCATCTTAAAATTCCACTGGTGATTAAGTCACTTACAGTATATAGAATTTATTTACTACCTCTCAGTATAAATTCATATATCCATACAGTCTTTATGTATGATGACCAAAACTATTTCTTTTACTGTACATGAAAAACAGGGGTGTCAATAAATTTGAATGTCAGTAATATTTTACAGCTAACTTTAAATAAATTATGTAGATGCACACTTTAAAAAATATTTTATTTGCAAAAATTGCCTTCAGGTTGTGTGACCATAACCAGCTTTTCTGTTTTGGAATTAGATTTTATGCAAGCTGTTTTAAATGCACCCCATCTTGACATTTTGCAATCTAATATGATCATTGATTGGTCTCTTGCTTTTCAATATAGTCACATAAGAGAAAAGCACAGAGGCAAACATGTTAGTGTATAAGCAATCAGGAAAACAAGCGACAGAAACATCGACCACTCATACTTTCTTCAGTACCCATCACAAGGAAAAGCCAAATATGTATCTGGCTAGTATTAGGCTGCAGAGGATGATTAGCCAAGTCTAACTTTAGATTTGCCGGAAAACTTTGTCAGTTAATAAACACCAGTTTGTTTTAGCAGTGGGTTCTAACGAGAAGTACTCAAATTAGGGTCGCCGAAGCAGATTATCTAAACTCTTATATAGTACGAAAAGTAATAGGGCTAATTTTTATCTGCAGATAATGATCGAAGATCCTCTGTTAAATTATGATAATTAGTTAGCCAGTCAGAAGCAGTTGCCTTATGATGATATTTTACATTTTCTATGATCATATTGTTATTGCCATATTGCTCTACATAACGTGATCAAAATCAATACGCAGTTTAGTGCTACAATAAGTATGATATGATTTTTATTTCTTTTGTGGAATTCCCTTATTGTCAGTGTTGGGCATTTCAGGTCTAGAAGCTACAAATCCAGACCAAGATTTTGTTTCTACCAACCAGTTGAGTACTCTGTGACTCTTTATACTCACCTGGTTGGTAGAAACAAAATCTTGGCCTGGATCTGTACAGTAGCTTCAAGACCTGAAATGCCCAACACTGACAATATGGTAAATGGTAAATGGACTGCATTTATATTCTTTACTACTCTTACGAGTACCAAAGCGCTTTACAATCTATGCCTCACCCATCCACACACACATTCACACACTGGTGGTGAAGGCTGCCATGCAGGACGCCAACCAGCTCACCGGGAGCAATGACAATAAGGGAATTCCACAAAAGAAATAAAAGTCTATTGTTTTGCTACTATCATATTGTACTTATTGTAGCACTATCAAGCACACATTTCCAGCTTTGGGGGAATTCAAAGGCTACCCCACTCTGAATATGTAGAAATTGCATGTTTTCCTCATATAACTTGGGTTTCTTCCTGCAGCCCAAAGACATGCTGTCCATAGTGCCCATAGTGTGTGAATGTGTATATGTGTGCAGGGTTTGGCCTGCCTTTTGTCCTGCACCATCCAGGATACACTGCAGGACTCTTATAACCTTGTACTGCATAAACAGCTGGAAGATCAATAGTTTAAAATGCTGCACTCAGAAGCATATAAATGCACTTTTTCTTTCAAATAACCACATATTACTTTCATTCATATGTGTTACAATGTCTGAAATAGGGCTTCACTGCTACCAGTTAGAGACTGTAAGCATCACTTGGCCAGTTTATACATTTCAAGTTTTAACTTCACAGGCAGTCCCCAGGATAACAAGATCCGTTCAGTAATTTCATTTTTAAGTAGAATTTGGAGGTAAGTCGGAACAATGTTAATATGGTAAATAATAATAATAATTATTATTTTTTTCTGTGCGTTTAACAGTGGAATGGTTGGAGCTTTGAAATGTTTAATTTACAATGAAGAATGCATTTCCCTCCGTTACCTTCTCTCCTTGTCAGTGCTACTTTGAGAATTCCTGCTCCAGTGCACAGGCTGACACAAAGGAGAAGATGAAAAGGGAAACTAGGGGTTTAAACTACCACTGGAAGCCCCAAGACAGCCGTAGCAGAACAACATATTTTGAAGGTCTCTTTAATGCACTGTTTTATGAAGCATCCTTCCCCAGGGAAAATAAAAGGCATGGGATTTGCAAAAAATAAAAAAAACACGGATTTATCCAAAAAAAATAATCTGACCCTTTGCCAGTTGTTATTTTAATTTAGATATCCTTTTAAACATAACCAATATTTTTTGCCTAATTTACTTTCCAAAATCCTAAAGGAAATTTGATTGTCCACTAACAAAACCCAAGAGAGAACACTACATACAGAAGATTAAGAACAGGGTCAGTTTTATGATCATATTATGGACTGCAGTTTACCTCTAGATCTTATAGAAGCATTTTTGCAGATTGCAAAAGAGATACTTAAAAAATCAGCACACGGTGATATAACTTAATGAAATCTGTGTGCACACAGGCTACATGCAGTGTGTTGCAAATAAGAAAAGTACACCCTTGATTTTTCACTTTGCCGTAAAACATCTTTAATTGCCTTGTAACAGTATTTGTCAATCTAGCACATAAACAAACATCATGAAGACGTACTTCGTAATCTGTGTATAGTGGAATCTTCACACTACGCAATCGTGCACCACTTATACGGTGCAGCAGCAAATCTGAAGGAATCGTAGGGAATCAAGCAAAAGAGCCGTCTAAAGTGGTCTACTGAGAAACCTGCTGTTAAAGACCTACAGCATAGTGGCTGAATGTGGCACAACTTCAAGCGCTCTGCTCAACACTGGCTGGTTTGGGGGTGTCATAAATCAAAAGCAATCAAATCCTGCCCGGACTTTTCCCGAGACTACATGAGTCATTCAGATAAGGTGAAGGGGGGAAAGGTTTTGTGGTCGGACAGGACCAAAATAGAGGTTTTAGTCCAAGATTCAAAGATCTGTGTTCGGTTGGAACCAAACATTGCAAAGGCATCTGGAAAAGGGACCCCCTGGAGTGAGGGTGGGTGGTGACGGTCCCATCAGTAAGGTCTTGAAATCGTGTTAGAATCCAAGTGACACAATCAGTGAGTATATAAATACCTCAAAGGAATGTGCCTCAGTTGCCTCAGTTCTTGGGGGAAATTCCCAAGGTCTAGCTGACCAAAGTAGCACAGGAGTGGTTTTAGAATGTAAAAGTGATTGCATATCACTACCATTTTTTAGATACATAGCCAGTAAGTCTGCCTGTTTCAAAAAATGTTCTGTCCTGGCATACATCTTTTTGGTTTATTACAAGGAAAACAAAACAAGTTGCAAAACTATGAAAGTAAGCACCCACTTATGAGTTCAGATGTGAATTAACTATCCATCTATCTTACGTTTTGCTGGGTCTGGAGCCTTTTGGTTCCATCCACTCTTCATCCATCCATTTTCTACACCTACTTGTGCTATGCTGGGCTATGGGGGTCCAAAGCCTATCCCAGAAGCTACATGCGCAAGGCAGGGAATAACCCAGGACGAAGGCGCCGGTGTAATTTTATATTGTCCCTGTTATCACAGAATATACGGTATTTGAGGCTATATAATAGACAAAAGTTCCAGATTTAAATATTTAAGTGCAGACTGTGCCTACTTCTCCTTACCAATAGAATCGATTAGGAGCCACTCTCTCATGAACAAGTTGCCATCTTCTTCCAAACTCCACAGAACTGTAGAGCTGAAAAACAGAACATGACAAAATTCAAACTTTTTGTAAGACACTGATGGAATGCATGTATAGAGTAGGTGTAAATAAAAAAATGAGCTAGGACCACTCATTGCCTTGAGAACAGCGTCAGTCCTTCTAGGAATGCTATTATACAAGTCCTAGACTGTCTATAATGGGATATTTGACCATTTCTGTATGGTGAACTTGCAGTTATTTCAGAGATGAAGGGGTGGAAATCTCACACCTTTGCACACCACAAGTTCAATGATATTTATGTCTGATTAGTGGAGAAGTCATATATGACATGTAACTCATCCTGTCGTTCATGAAACAACTCTTATAATTGGTTAGCATTATAATCTTGGGAAAATCATGAAGCAACCATGTCAGGAACAGGGAGTGCACTCAGTGCTATAAAATACTCCTTGGCTGTTATACAACCATGCAGAGCAATCTGGGACCTAATTATTCCCATGAGATGGCTGCCCAAACCGGGAGACCCTGTGGGTTGAAGGCATCCTTCGGCTTCCTCCAAATATAAAACCATCTCGATGTAGGAAAACAAGCGAAAGATGACTCATCAGAAGACATAACTTTTCCCATTGCTCAGGGACCCAGGTTTGTTGCTCCTTACACCAGGTTATGCATCTTTGTACATTGGCCTTGAATATCAGCATATTCTAAATGGCAGTGCTGACATAAATTCCACCTCTGTGAAGCTCCTGCTGTATATTTTTTTTGTTGATAGTGGGTTGCAGAAGGGCTGATTCTGTGCTGCCTGTGGATCCTCATTGGCGAGATTTCTTATGTGATCACAATTCCCCTTTGCAGGTGACTTTGCCCGTGTTTTGTTGCTTTGAAAACTCAGATATGAAAGTGATGAGTGTCAGGCATCTTTTATACCAGACATAAACTGCTAACTGACATTTAAACTAAAATGACTGATTTGTAATTCCGATTTACTAACTTCAAGGTTAAGGTCCCTTTTTATGTTGTTTTTTTTTTTGACAACCTCTTATATGTGACCTGTCATAGACAGTTATTATTTTATTACAGAACTGGTAGTCTTCATATGTACAGTAAGTATGTACAATTCACACAAAACATAGACTGCATCCCATATGATTTATTATTTACATTTACTATTTAAATACATGGATGCATATATTTCTTGATTAGTAAACAAACATTAAGATCACTAATATTAAATTAGAAAACTAAAGAATGGGAAAACTAAAGAATATACAAATATAAAGTTGATGTTGCCATTATTGTAATGGTGCAATTACATTAAAAGGGGGGGGGGGAAATCCGGAGGTATATCCGGAAATTCTGAGGTAAAAACTGTGCTGTCATTTCAGTGAGATTTTTGTAAATCTGCTGGTTAGTATTTTCCAACATTTGAAAGGAAGCAGGGGCCAGGGGTGGACTAACTTCTCTGGGGGGCCCGGCCAGACATGGGTAGGGGGGCCCTAAGTGGGCCATTCGAGCGGAAATGAAAAATGATGGAATGTCAGTAATATGCTAATCAATGCACGGGGCACCAGTGGTAAAACTTACTGATAATGATGGGGGCAGCAGTGCTGCCAATAAAATCCATCTATCAAGGGTGTTGCACCGACATGTTGATAGCCCAAATTTAAGATGTATTATATTACTGTACATTACCATATTTTGACCAAAATAGTTGGTTTCATCTACGTGTTTTCTTACTAAAAAGAAGCTCAAGATTAGCAGGGAGTCGCCCCTAATTTGGGGCCCAGTGTCATTCACCCCTCCGTCCCTCCAAAATCCACCACTGGGCAGGGGGCAATACCGCAGCTCAGTAGGTGGCCCCCACCAGAGCTTAGGGTCTAAATCCCATCCTTATTCTGTGTGTGTAGAGTGTGTATGCTCTCTCTCTCTCCCCGTACGCTGGTTTCCTCTTGTCCTCCAAAGACATGCATTTATCTGAACTGGCATCTCTGCCAAAGCATCTGCATGTGTGTTATTCCCAACTGGGACTGGCTTCCCGTCCCATTCCGTGTGCCCTGTGCGGCCTGGCCTAGGCTCTGTGCCCATCTTGGCCCAGTAATGGGTACGTTGTTGGACAGGGTGGTTGAAATAAGCAGACAATAGGAACAGACAGCAAATTTGTACAATGTATATTGTATATTATTATTTTACACTATAGCATATTAAATGCCTTGTTCTTCAGTTACAATTTACACATTTTTCATTGACTGCATTTTCAGTAATGTCTCAAAATATACCTAAAATGCTTAGCCAGAAAAAAGGTGAAAGGTTGTTGTTTTAACTGCTAACACTATGTTAAAAGATATTTCCTCTAATGAGATTAGAAGAATGAAAGAAGCAAATCATTTTTATTTAAGTGTAATATGTATGTGTGTCTCTGTGTGTCTCTCTGTGTGTGTTCTTAATTTATGAAGGAAAAACATCCACTATTCTTTTTCTAAACTTAAATGACCCGTATATTTATTCTACAGATTTGGCAGGAATTTTAATTAAACATTTAACTCATTTTAATGAGTTAGACCTTTACATAATTTTTTTCATTTTAAACGTGGCTGACCATGTATGAAGTATAAACATTAGTTTACCATCAGTTTGACTGAACACTGTTTATTTAGACTTCAATTATTTCTCTCTTCAAGGTGAAGTGAACACACTGTCAAAACAGAACTTGCAACACTATGCACTGCACTTTCTGAACAAGACTGGAAGATTATTACAATTCTAATAATTTTTTAAATGCCATTTTTAAAATAATTAATTTCTTTTTTAATAAACCCATGTTAAAATACATTAAAATTTTGTCAAGTATGATATTTGTGAATTAATCACCGTTTTTGACCTTAAGATAAAGTTTTATATTTGCTCTCTTTGGATTCAGTCCAATTTGTAGCACAATTCTCCATTGTGGTTTGAGGATATGTTATGAAAGACAACATGATACACAATCAACAATGCTAGGCAAAAACTTAAGTGCCTATTCACACAAGGCCATCAGAACATACAGGACAATGATGTGAGCAGATGTTACTTCTCTTTACACATGCAAATGTCAGCATCCTGCAACCACCATATAATCTTGTGCTAGGCTACCGAGAGATTAAACTTTACCAGGTCTGGTCTTAATGCTACTTCATAGTCTGACACTTGCAACTTGGAGTAAATATTAGCATAAACCAGGTACAGTTTTGTGGAAACAACATCAATTTCCATTCAACCATGACTATAGGATTATGATGGTGGAAAATAGAAATATTCATGGTTCTTTCACTGTAGAAGTAATTGCGGTTGTGTATGAAATGTATATATAATTGTTTGACAATTCATCATTATCTAGCGTTTCCCTTTTTTTCTAACTAAGAAATGAAATGGTAAGTTATTAGGCTTCTTTTGATGGAAGGTAGCTGCCATAAAGGCCAATGTTAACTGACCCCATGCAGTGGTATTTGCATGACTGGAGGCTTCTTTCTTAATCTCCTCCCAAGGTCCTGCCTAAGAAGCTTCTCATAATATACTCATTCATTTGTGCGTTCTGATTGGGCTGGAAAGCCTTTAGAAGATAATTATGCAATTCCCTTTAGTCCATTATAATACCGGACACTTGATAGTGTTGTCTATCTATCCAGATTCATTAACTGTTTATCTAGTTAATGGATGGAGTTAGTACTCTTGGTATTCTTGCATTTATGTATACCTTAATTACGAACTTGCATAGTGCTCCCATTGCATATAATGATTTTCTGATTATTTAATTTTTTTACATTATAACAAGATCTTTTACATGTTATCAACCAAAAGTATATTGTTAAAACAAGAAACCTATAATGGGATCTGTATTAAGAAATGTACCTCGTCATAATGAGATCATATTCACGTTTTAACGTTACACTTTCCGTGTTAAAACACAAAAAGGTGCTTGTTATAATATGGATTTCTTATATAACGAGAAACTGGCCAAATTTTTATTTTTGTCATGGTTTTGACATCATCAAGTTATACTTTTTTATTGGAGTAAAGTTTATATGCTTAATAAACTGCCAGATTTGTTTCTGATGTCATTATCAACCAACATGTGATCTATAGTTCCATCTTTCATATATCTATATAAATTCAAAGTATCTGCAAATATATATTTTTTAGAATACTTCAATATTAAAATTTAGAGTAATTGTAATATATTAAATAATTTAAATAAATATTTTGAGAGTCTTTATGGCTAATGTAAGGTACACTGATAAAAAGCGATTACATGTGTAATTAGGATTTCATAATTATAGAAGACCTGGCGATTCTATGTAATGCTACATTAGATTTGTTTTTCTAAAAACAAAGGGGCTTTGTGGAGGAAGGATTCAAACTGTATTGCTATTAACCATTTTTAGCTATGAGTGCAAATGACATGGCTTGAAGACAAGAAGCAGATAAAACACAATGATGCAAACACTTGAGGGGACATCATGATGAGGCAATCTGCATATCAAACACTTGTGCATAGAATGATTTTGATTCTCTTATAAAAGGCCTATGAATCTAAGACTTCTAGTGTATTGTGTACCAATACCTACCAATAGAAAGTTAACGTGCCTCATTGCCTGAAAAGACTTGTGACACAGGCTATATGCTAGGTCACTACCTATTTCCCTGAAATATGTCTGAAAATAGAATCAACTGAATGCTGATTATCATATGCATCCTGATGGGGATACTATGTCTTTCTCCATGGTAAATTCTGTATGCAGCAATTTTAACGGTCTGCACTCACAGATATATTGATGAGGAATTCTGTAATAATACATGTATTCTTTTGACATGGACATAACATTATTTAGGTATCAAAATCAGTTTAAATGCAGAATAACCCAAAATGCATCCTCTGTGGTCAGTGTTTGGTGTTCAAAAAATATGTCCTGAGCATTAATTTTCCCTGATCATCACACATAAGAGTAATTGAGTGATAAAATTTAACATAAACAAATGGTGTCTATGGTGAAAGAATAATTGTTTTATGTGCTATGCATAGTTTAAGCAGATTTTGGCAGGGTCTGGAGATGTGTTATATTATTCCATTGATTAAGTATAGTTGTACAAAGAACAGAATACACAAAATGTAAAATATGTTTCTCTTTAACACTGTTGTTTATTTCTGGTGCACCTTTATATGTTAAAAATCAAGATGTAAATAAATACTGTGTAAAACACTGAGCCATACACTGGTAAATTTGAATCATTATTCGTTTTTAAATTGAAATTAACTTTCATTTGTAGTTAATTTCTATATTTGATCAAATTAATAGGCTTTTCGCTATCTGTTATAAATGTAATATAATTTAATTACCATTCATATGATTTACTATAGAGTCAGTCACTTGCTATTAATTGAAACACTTGTCCCACATCATATGTGAAAGGAACACCCATTAGAAAAAAAAAGATTAAGCCTAAACGAAACAATGATCCAATTAAGGCCTGTATCAAGCGGAAAACACAAAATAACCTTTCACATCCAGGACACAGCAGGCCTACACTGAAGTATATCATGAAGACAGCAGATAATGGCAATAGTATCCACAAGTCTATGTGAAACTGTTTGCTTTAACAGAGCTTAACCTCAAACTGTATAACATAAAGAACATACAGGTATTCTATTTCACTGAATATATGTGTCCAGTCTGCATAGTATCATAGTATAAGAATAAAATATGATGTACAGGTTACTGGTGGGGAGGAATGGTGGCATAGAGGTTGGTATTGTTGCCTCACACACCTCTGGGACCTGGGTTCGAGTCTCTGCCATGGCTCCATGTGTGTGGAGTTTGCATGTTCTCCACGTGTCGTTGTGGGGTTTCCTCCAGGTCCTTTGAATTCCCCCACAGTACAAAGACATGCTGAGGCTAATTTGAGCTGTCAAATTGCCCATAGGCGTGTGTTTGTGACTGAGTGGTGTGTGAGTGTGACCTGTGATGGGTTGGTGCCCCATCCTGGGTTGTTCCCTGCCTTGTGCCCATAGCCTCCAGGATAGGCTCTGGACCCCCATGGCCCTGAATGGTAGAAGTGGTTACAGAAGATGGATTGATGGATTAATGGTGAGCATCTATCCCCTGAAATTCTGCACAAACTGAAAAGCTATATGGATCTTAGCCGAGGGTTCAGCACCAGGGATAAGTCATTTAAATGTGTGAATGATCCCCTGCCAATGAGATGCTCTAAAACTGTTATGGCTGGGAGAAGAGCCAATGACGTGAAGGCATAATGCGAGAATCAAAGCCAAGTATGTGTCTGGACATCATTCCCCAAGGACTCTCCATTAGATCACAAAAGACAGGGTACTTTCTTCTCATATGCAAGAAGGCTGACCAAAGCAAGGACTTACTGTATTATTGTCACTGTAATTTTTACAAGTTGAAGATACCAGTTATAAGCTTTTGAGTGTCCCATCTTGTCAGAAGATGTATGTGGTACAATAAACCAAAAAGGAACAATTGCGTAGTGCTGACATGCTTTGACTAACCAAAGAAAAAAACGATTGCTTCTTTGAAAGCCACAGTGTTGAGGGAATGGTACTTTAATTCTATTTCTGAGACACATGGAGAGAATAAAAGAGAACAAGGGGACTAAGGAAGGCAACTACCACATGCAAGCAGAATTTTAGTCTTCTAGGTTTCTGTATTTTACCAGAGGAGAAGGAGAAGGGCTTTGAACATACAGTATGGACAGTTTTTAATAGCTAAGATTTCTATTCCAGTTTTCTGTATATGTTATGGCTATTATACAACTGATTTAAGGAAAAGCTACATTAGTAAATTATTGATGAATACCCCATAAAAAACACTGCACGATATGTTGGGAAGTTAATTAACCACTTGGTTTAAATATAATAAGTAATATTAATGTACAACAACTTCTGAGCATGGATCTTCGCATGCCTGAAAAACACACTGGAACTGAAAGCAGTAGTATCACGATATCTGTTTATGGTGGCAGTGGTTCAGAAAGCAGCAATGTCGCCTTGCTACTCCAAGGGTGGAAGCGACCCTGAGTAGGATAATTACAGTAGTGCTCCCCAATTCCGGTCCTGGAGGGACAGTTTGCAACACAGTCTGCAGAATTCCCTGCACAGACACACCTACTAAACCTGCTAATTAGTTGATTAAGATGTGTTTGAGCAGGGAAATCTGCAAACTCTGCTGGATGCTGGCCCTGCAGGACTGGAACTGGGGGACCGTTCATAAGAGGATGGATAGATGGGATCATCCATCCATACAGCTGTCTATCGAGTTAAAGCTGATCTGTCAAATTATATATTCTCTTTGACAACATTCTCTTCATTCTTCAGGCTTCCTACACATGGTTCAAGCAGTTCTTACATCAGACACCATGTTGCCTCTGACCTCACTGTCACCCCTCAGATCTCGCCAAAAAGTCAGTCTGTACAGAAGACATCAATTTTCCTTTTCTAGGTGGACAAGGTCTCCCTACCAGAGGTGGACATTTCAGGTCCGGAAAGTAAAAATCCTGGTTTGGATTTTTACTTTCTGGACCTGAAATGTCCACCTCTCCTCCCTACCTAAGCATTGCATATTAATTTTACATATCTACTAGGGATGTGCATCTCCATCACTGAGGCCGACACATCTTGATGCCTTGGCAATGATCAAATACATGAAAGATACATATGAAGCAGCTACTAATGTAATATGATACGATTCACCCCTATTGCGAAACACTGCCATTCAATGCAATATGGTACGATGCGTTGTTGGACACGCCCCCAACTTGTGTGAGACTTGGACAAGAGACTTGATGAGATTTGGCCTCTGACTGCAGTGCAGAACTGGAGAAGAGAGAGTGCGCTTGAGAAAGTTTCGAGAGGAGTAATCAATCTAAATATAAAATTATTGGTCAAAAATTATTGGTCACTTTTCTGAATAATTAAAACATTGTCCCTAGTCTTGGGCAGCATAATGGAATTACGGTATACCCCAGTATTTAGAAATCCCAAAGGTATTATTTTTAATACTGTCTGTCAAAAATACAGATGCTCCTTTTTCTATTAAACTGATAAGGAGATGCTGTGGTGAGCCAATATACTGTAGTACATAGCATGTGCCACCAGAGGTCAATCTACTGGTGAGAAAAATGGCGACTGCGAGTAGGAAATTAGATACAACCCTTCTTAACAGGGCCCCTGGTAATAGTTATATAATATAATTATACTAATTAATAAATTGCATTTTACAGATGCAAAGATGTTAGAAACCATGCATCCCAAGTCCATCTGAAATTGTATCCACTTCACACTTTTTTAATCAGGGCAATATCATCGTGAACGTTAATGCTGGTGCACTGATGTGAATCGGTGAATCTTCCATCCAGCCATTCATTTTCCAAACCGCTTATCCTTCTGGGTCGCGGGGGTTCCGGAGCCTATCACGGAAGCTATGGACACGAGGCGGGGAACAACCTAGGATGGGGGGCCAGTCCATCGCAGGGCACACTCACACATTCACACCTATGGGCAATTTAGTAACTCCAATTAGCCTCAGCATGTCTTTGGACTGTGGGGGAAAACCGGAGAACCCGTCGGTGAATCTTGTCATCCCTAATATCTATTTATTTCTTGAGAGGGATCTACAGCTAGAAATAAAAAACAGAAATTCTAGTGCTGGTTTGTGGATCTGGTTTATGGACTTTGTAAGAAGCTTGAGAAGTTCCAGTGAAGCCCAACACTCCCAGTAAGTATCTCTGCCATTCACACAGCGAAAAAAAACATATTCTGGCAGCATTCAAAACTTGAGGCTGATCCTCTAACGTGGATAAGCAGCTCTCAGTCTCCTCTGCTCTTTGCAGCCTCCGCCGCGTAAGACTTAGTCACATTCTTGAAGCCAAGGTCAGTTCCATACGGAGCCTCATCAACTTCCCAGCTGCCTGCTGTGACCTTTTCATTCCACGTTAGAGAAATCAGGCCCTTCTCTACGATGTCACAGCCATCTTAGTCAGGAACGAGATCCTGCAATTAGAGATCTAGAGAACCACAACTTTCTATTTTCGACACGCACAGAGGACTGTAATTATATCTTTGTGGGGACTCGCCATTCATTTCTATGGGCAAAACTCTAATCCCAACATGACGACCTTAACCTCTACCCATTTTGTTTATTTCATTTTCTCTCTACCTCTAGGATGAAAAATATACTCTATATGACAGGGTTTAGTGAATTTATGACAAGGAATTAAACAGCATACACAGCAAACCATATAGGAAGTGTCAGCGTTGTAACTTTGTGCTTGTTGCCAATTATGTATGTATTTGCCAGAAATGGAGATTAATCTTACTTAGTCAATTACATTCACAAGATTTAATATCTAACAGAAAAAATCTAATAGCTTAATACATAAATTCAAGGGAACCCACAATAGGCATTTAATATTTTATATCCATAATTCTGTCTGAAGCGTAGTCGAAATGCTTCAAAAATCCATACTGAGGTGATGTTCGGTGTAGTGGTGTGTGAACAGTATACTATATGCTTGAAAATGCTGCTGTCTTTTGCCAGGAATTTGAAATGTAAGTTTCTCACATTTAGAGGCTAGACAGAGACATTCTAGGCCTCAATATTCCTAAACTGATAGATGTCACATACCTTTTGATCATGGCTATATGCCAAAATCCAGTCCTCCTGCTCAGGGTGAAACAATAAACTCAAAATGTAGAAATTTAAGCGGTACTTCTGGTAAGTGGCTCCCTCATCAGTGCTGATCAGCAGACTACTTTCAGTATCTGGGTCAGTCAACAGCATAATCTGCAACAGGACAAGAAATGTATCAGATGTTTACAATATAAAAACGTTACACATACAGTAAATACCTCGGAAATAGCTATGTGCATACACACATGCACACAAATATATAAATATATAAAAGAAACTGAAATCTAGTGTATGTTGGATAACAGGGAAATTGAAAGTATGAAAAGACAGAAGGTATAATCGTTAAAGGATGCTGGTTCAAGTTTCACATTCAGCAAATAGAAAAAAACAATTGAAAATCATAATCTCAAACAGATTTTACATTCACAGATTTCAGTAGAATTCAATTGTGTACTATAAACGATGCATTTGAACATTTCTTGGGATTTTTAGTTATATTGTGATTTATAAAAAATATGAACATCTTAGTGTCACTGTAATAATCTATTGTAAGTTATTGTACACTTTCCACTCTGTCAACAACACAGAAATGTTGATGCTTGTCCTCAATCATATTCCCACTCTTCAGTCAAGCCTATAAATCTATAATTTCCCAAGGGCTCTTCATTTTCCCCAGAGGCTTAACTTTTTCCTGATTGTGCCGTATCAGGAAAATATAATCAACCAAAACATAATTGAATCAGTGGACTTGAACATCTGCAACACCTTATCATTTCAGGTGTTTGAAATTATTCTTGACACAGCCTGGCAACAACTTGACAAGGCACATGTACAGGTACCAGGTACACTGCAGTGACTTGTACGCAGTTCATTTCTGTCAAATGTTACACTGCAGTGACCTGTACGCAGTTCATTTCTGTCAAATGTTACACTGCAGTTACCTGTACGCAGTTAATTTCTGTCAAATGTTACACTGCAAGGAAAAGAGACACAGGACCGTACTAGATCTCCAGATTGAAATGGTCAGAAATAATTATTTTTAACTATAAACATTGGAGAATTTTATTTTTAAAAATGTCCCCCACCCCAACATTCTACATTGTTACTTATAAGTAACAATTCTTCAATTTAAATGATTCATTCCTGTAGAGATAAGTAATCTCACGGCATGGCTTCCAAATACTGTAAGATAAAAATAGCAATAAATGCATAAAAACCAAATAAGTTTATAATATTAAATTAAATGAACATAGCTCAACCCATTTCCTGGATTTCCAGTAAAACATAGCTTTTTTATCTTTTTTTATTTCTTAAATGTTTTTTTCACAAATAATCTAGTTAGCGTAGAGTGCAATTTGTGTATATTTGTGTTGCAAAGTAGGACAATTTCAAATATATTTATTCCACCAATGCACCTAAATGCCCCCTAGTGGATACTGATGCCAGGCCTGCAGTGCAATACCAACCACATCAAATTAAATTTTCCTCGTTCTCCTAAACATCTTTAGATGGAATACAGCTCAGGAAAAGAATCACTCTTTGCACATTATTACAGAAATGGTCACCAGACATGAATTTGGTGCTGTCCGCATCACAATAACATTCTAAATCATATAGTGAGTTTGCAAATACCCATATCTTAAGTCTTTCCATTGACCTCACTATAATTTTAAGAGAAAAAACAATGTTAGGTTAGCTTGGGTTAATTCCCAGCTGCATTAATGTTATCTTTTGAGAAATTATATTATCCTTTTGAGAAAAATACTTTTTAAAGTATCTTAAGAGCTTGGTTTAATATGATGGAGACCATTTACCTTAACAATTACATCGCTATTATTTGTTTAAAGGTTATAACATTTGATAATTCATTGCTTTCAGTTATTGTGGTTATCATAGCAGTGAACTGCTGTTTCATCCAGGGTGGATCCCTGCCTTGTGCCTTATGCTCTCTCAGAGGTACCAGCCACCCTGCAACACAGTACTGGATAAGAGGCTGGAATATTGATTGCTGGATGGATTGATAACCTTCTCATATTGGCCCCTAACACTTTTAGTTCTATTTTGAATTGAAAATCAGAGGTGGAGATTTCAGGTCCAGGGAGTATAAATCCAGTCCAAGACTTTGTTTCAACAAACCAGTTGAGTTAAAAGAGGCACAGTCACAGAGTAACTCAACTGGTTGGTTGAAACAAAATACTGGACTGGATTTATACTCCCTGGACCTGAAATCTCCGCCTCTGTTGAAAATACTGGATGCTGTGTATGTATGTGCCTGTGTGTATTTTAGAAACCTGTCCTTATTCTCTCATCTCGCTTCCGAAAAGCAGGTGTCAGGAAAGTAAAATATTAGTAACACTGAATTACAAATCCTTGTTGTATAGGCACTCAAGTTCCGTATCCTATGAATTTCAATTTCATGAAGTCATTTTCAGAAAAATAGGGGACTCAGTGGCACAACAGGCAGCTTTTCCATTGTAGACGAGAGCCCTGCTGGGGGTACAGTGGGCTATTTATTTAATATTTATTATTAGATGAAAATCAATACATCACAGTAAAGGATAAATGGGTATAGGGACTTTCCATAATCCTTTCGGTGGGATTGTGGATTTGGTAAGTCTCAGTCTGACCTTCATTCATGAAAAGTAAAGAAGGATGAGAACAGGAAGGTTTCAATGATCAAAAATGACATGTCCTCTGCTATTCAAGGACCACTCCTGCGGAAAGAATACCACCGTAGAATTACATTAGTGAGAGTTTTATGCTATAATCAAGATAAAGAATCTATTTTGCATTCTGCAATGACACGGATTTCCATACTTATCGTAAATATCATTAGCACAGGGATTTAGCTGCAAACAGGCTCCAACACGATTGTCTTCTCTGTTGTAGTTTAAACTAATTTATATGCATTGAGAATTAGATACCAGATATGACAGGCAGTCAGAATAAGCTCACCCTGCTAGTTCAATACCATGTACAAATTAGATACAATTATATGCCAGAATCCAACAGCGGGGTCATGTCATTTAATATAACATGGAGAAAAATCCTCACCTTCAGCCGTGTGCTATATTATAATCACCGGGTGCAGTGATATTACTGCAGTCTTTGTGTGTCGTGGTTTAAAATGAATTGTTCTAACATTTAAAGAATTTTGAACATTTGTATACTCTGAGAGAAATGACCTTGACTGACAATAAGGCACGATTTAATAGTTTACATGTACTGCATATGAACATTAAATGATTGAGTCACTGTATTTTGATTCGTTTCAAGCAAAGGGATAAGGTAAATTAATGAAAAAAACTATTAGCAAACCTGTTCAATGTGACTGGGTTAATCGGGCAAGGCCTCATTACTTTCGCAAATTTAATTATGATAATTATACTTTTGCTAATTAAGGTCCACAAAACAGCCAATAGTATATTACTAGAATTGAAGACATATTGTTAGGGATTATGTTAGGGATATAGATTTATTTTGAGCTGGGGTAAGAGCACCACACAAACATCTTTTTAAACTTTAAATTGTTATGAACTAATTTAAATACCCTAGTGAATACTATGTTTTTGTGAATAAACTGTTGGCTCAATCTCTCTTTTTTTGCACACCCCCAATGTGGTTTTGATTGGAGTGATTGGATTACTCATTATGCTGAAAAAATAAATACTGCTCTGTGATTGGAGGAGGGTTATACATAAGAAGTATATTACATATGAGTTTTCCACCCCTTTTCTTGTCACTGAATGGGTTCTATGCTTCATGAAGCTGCACGACACTATATGAAGCAGGTCAACTCTGCTTTAACTGCCTGAACCCCCCCCCCCACCCCCACCCACCCAAAACTCGAACAAAGAATAAATGTAGCTCGTTATCTCGACCAAAACACCAAACACCTTGTTGTGGTCAGCACTCCAGTTGAAATATTTCAAAAAAGTATTCAACAGATTTCCATATGACACTGTGCCATTTATATAATGTTTGATGTTCAATCTCACTTATAAATTTAATTTCAATTCAGATGCACCACGACATGAATTGCATTTTATTAATATGAAGTGCACAACAAAAGGGCACACATTTATGGACAGATTTGAAGGGAAATAGGAACATGGTAATTATAATTATAATCTGCAAATAAACAATTTCTAAGTGAACTGTTTCCAAGTAGAACACAGCATACTGTATTCACACATGATTTGGAGTTAACTTTCTATATAAGGATTTGTTTCCCACTAAAACTGGAACAGATGACATATTAGTCAACTTCATAATCAGGTGAAATTACAATAGCACTGTCTGCATGTTTGTTGCTCCCCCCCCGCCCCCCCCACAGGATTACAAGTAAACACCAGTGCAGTGTATAGAAAACAATTTGTGAGTTCAGTTCAGGTGGGATGCTTCAGCTTTTGGACAGCTCCCACTGTCGCAGCTCTGGCATGGTGGAGCCGCATGGAAATAATGCGGCAGCACCCAAAGCCGGCTGGCTTGCATATCCTCAGTAGCTGTAGTCCTACAGCTTGAACAGGTAGCCAGTCAGGCAAAGGAGAGCAGGACCTGGACTCAACCTTTCATTCACTGCAGATATCAGGTCGCTCGACAGCTGGATGTGGAAAAGCCTGATCAACAGAACAGCCTCAGTTTAGAAGGACACTAGGGAAATTCTTTTGGCCCGTGTGCCAAGTTTTCATTGTTACAGTTTTAAGCCTTTGCTGGATTTTCTTGTGATTTAAACGAGTTCTTGGCTATGGGTGGGGGTCCCGGACATGCTCTATTCTGCCTTGTTCTTCCGGACCCACACCACTACCTCAAATAAAACAATAAGTACCTTTCCATTCGGTATTATTTAGCAATTAAACTTTACCCAAATAAATAAATTAAATAAATCCCAAATGTGCCAGTATGGGAGGGATTAAAGTACAATGGCTGCTAAACTGCCAAACGCATTGTTTAGGGAGAATTTTGTTTTAGCCACTAAAAATATTATTCAAAAATAAACATTCCAAGTTAACCCGTTATATACGTTTAGCCTGACATACAGATTGAACAGAGTTTGCTCATCCTAGAAACGCATAATTAGAAATTTGCAGTGTTAGCGCTGACAGGCAGTGGGTAGCATTTTTAAGACTACAGCGACAGATTGTAGCAAAATA